AACTTGACTATTAGCTTGGCAATAACATAATGCAGAGCACCCAAACTACAATGCAGACATTGATAAATAACTAATCCCGAGTTCTTTGAAACACTTAGTTTTGTAAGATTAATCTAAAATGTACTATGCTGATTACTTCCACTACTGTTGTGCATGTTTTAATATCCATGTTTATCATATAATGTGTAACTGAGTACATGGTCATATTCATGAATGAGTCTATTGTGCGGCACTCATCTTTGAGGACGCATCATGACTTCTAAACTCTGGGTGTCATGACTCTCATGTGGAGAAAATGATTTAAGTGAACGATAATGTTTCATGTGCTGTTTTACAGTCTGCCTTTGAAGTGGTTAATCCTCACCGAGCACAGTTACTCTACTGAGGAACAAATGTTTACTGTTGTTGTCAGCAGCGTTTAGCAAAGGTCATGAACAAACACAAGCTTACTGTACGTACAAAGGATGATCCTGACTGCATGAGTTCTTACAGGAGAGAGGGGGGAAGGCTAAAGACTTTGTTGTTCTGAGATACAAAAAAAAAAGAGAGAAGAAACAGGATGAGAGAAAAGCAAAAAGAAGTCACCTTCAGTCTCCAAGATCAGGGAAGAACATGTGGGGTAAAGAAAGAAGGCTGCAATTTTATTTGGATATTCGGGTATTTCAAGATGGTCACAATGCCAGATGTAATGCATTGTGAAATAAAACACATGCAGTGACTTGGCACTATACACATGTTGAACCTCGTCCACAATTTGCATGACATGCAAGCGGACGTCCAGGATCAGGGTTAGAAACATGGCATCTGAAGCAGAGGATGCCGTACACATCGTCAAAACTTTGACATCCAAACCTTACATATATCATTGCTGAACAATGACATACGACAGCATGACATTATAATGTTGAAACAGTGAAGCCCTCTCAAACATTCTGGCACACTATTGTCTCAAATATCACGCTGTCCAGTAGCATAAAAGCCCCGGAAAATGTGTAGAAAAAACTACAAATTAACAAAACAGTTTTAACTCCAGCTGAATGTTCAGATTCATTATAATAATAAACTGATGAGAAAAAGATGTTTCTTTAAGATTTGTTTCCCTTGAACTAAGAGGACAAACATTGGATTGAATGGCCTTCAACAATAACCCACTGCACAAAACAACACATTGTTGGGCCTTTTGTTCCTATCAGACTGTTGTTTCCCTGTTACAGTAGCATGTAGTGTGATAGCGACATTGTATGTGGGGATAGAGAAAAAGAGAGCCAGGACACATTACCGCAGGGAATAGAGGTAGAGGATGCATTTTGCTTCTGGAAGACAGAAAATCAAAAATAGATGGAGGCAGGCGTGGACAGAGAAATGAGAAAAATCCAAAGAATAGGCGTGAGGGAGGCTGAGGGGGAGAGCAGGGGTCCCTCAGTGTGTGTCCGGGCGGGGATGGAGGGATGCAGAGATGGAGGTCTCGCTGCTGAGGGGGGATTTGTGTCAAGGCGGCAGGAATTAGGTTGGCCTTCGCCTCTACGCATGAATACTCCTTACACACTCATACACACACTGCCATGCTTTTCTACCTCCAGGTCCCATGGCTTCCCTCTCGCTCACTCCCTCTTATCTCCCTTTAATTGTAAACCCCCCCCTCCCATTCTCTTGCTCTCAAATCCAAATTCATGCTTTATAAGTACAATATCAAGCCATGTTTGACATCTAAGTGTCAGACAACACATCATCTTCACATAACATTAATGTATACACTCAACCCTAGACGACACTATGTGTTTATCCAATCGAATGTATGCTACAGTTAATATAATAATGGTAATAATGAGAGCCAAAGAAGAAAAGAGATGTAATACAATTCTAAAAATCTCCCCCACGTGCCTGTCCCTTTGACTCAATCGTTCTCCACCCTTCCCCCTCCCATCCCCTGTCTCAATCCTCCCTCATCCTCTCCTCTCTCCCCTCTCCTCTCTCCTCCTGCTGCCCCCACCCCCGAGCAATGACCCTCTCCTGCACCTCCTCCTCCCACCCCCCTCCTGACCTCTTTCCTTCTGCCTGGCTGTGCCTCCCTTCCATCTCTCTTTACCCCAGTGCCTCCCCTACCCATCTCTCCCTCTCTCCATGCAGCGGTTTGGGCTCCACCCCTCCCTCCCTCCCTCCCTCCCCCACCGAAAGAATGACACAGTCGATACCATCCTCTGCCCCCTCTCTTTCTATGCATCACTTTTCCTTACAATCCAGTTGCTGCGTTTTAGGGCTGTTGACTCATTCAAACACCCTCCTCTTCCTCTTTTTCTTCCTCTCTTCCCTGTTTCTCCAATCAGCCGCTTTCTGTTTCAAATCATTCATTCAGTCTTTCTGCTCCGTCTCATTTAGCTTCTCCCGATGTTCATCAGCGGAAATCTCCCCGTCTCTTTCCATCTGTTTGTGATGCTGGGAATATTGCAGTGCATGTGCAGCACTAATTAAACATTGAACCATACATTTGGGTAAAATCGGAAGTCGCATGTAGACTAATGTGAATGTTAATGTTTTAGTGTGTCTTTTTATATCCATCCTCACTCTGTATGTGGTTATGGGAGTAGGAAGGCTTCATTGTGGTATGTGTTGAGGACTATGGAGCTATCTTGAACTATACAACTATCAGGCGTGCAGACATCCATCCCGCCTGCCAGCCTGCACGGCACACACCATTTATTCCACAACCACTTATTTCGAAGCCTGTCTGTCTGAAAAGAGATCCAGAGATCTTTAACCTGCTTCAACAATAAATACTAAAGCATTTTACACCCTTGAACCCCATTGTCTTGTGTGTTTCATGAGAGTCCTTTTAAAGCTACATTTGGAGACTTTCTTATGAAATCATTAAATAGGGAAACAGCTGCAACACTGAACTTGCTTATTGGTGTCCAAATTGTAATTGTGTTACTGTGATATGTATTGATATGTCAGTCAGGTACAAACTTTCTGCAGAATAAATATTTTTATATATTTTAACTACATATTGCTGATAATATTTTTGTATGTTCTAGGATTTGTTTGTCTTAAGCAGTATTTTTGTATTGTTATATTGATAATTTACTTAGGTAAAGGACCTGAATACTTCTTCCACTAATACTGACCCCCCGATTAGAGGTTAACTATGATGGTTGAGCAAGTTTTCTTGCATTTTATAGACCAAACAATTCATTTAAAGGTTAATCAATAAGGAAAATGATTGTTAATTGCAGCTCTATTGGACAGGAGACACAGAGCTAACCACACACGTTCACTCTTGTTCTGGTTGTAGCTCTAAATGGGAGTTTGTACTCACTTGCACTATTTGAACCGTGAACATGGCATTAACAATATTGATGTGAGGAAGAGGATGTTAGGGTGATTCAGAAAAAGTGGGAGGAATACAATCTTGGTAATGATGATGATGATGAGGCGGCGGTGGTGGTGGTGTGTTAAGGTGGGGGAGGGGTCTCTGTCATAATGCAGGGTGTTCACTGTGTTATTGTCTGGTCAGGCTGCAGACTTGATGGGTTTAATCAAATAAACACACGCTGCTCCACTCGACCCGCAACAATGGCCTGACAGCAGCTGCACGCAGTCCCTCTCTGCATCACTCTCAGAGCAGAAAACCTCATCTCTGAAACTACACAAGCTCCAATGACCATTTTTGGGCTACAATGTTATCTCTCACACCCTCATTGTTATTGCTGGCACCAAGGAAGCCGTTAGCACTCAGTGCACAGCCCATGGCTTTTAGAGAATTCAAATAATTTGAGGACTCATTATTTTCCTCCCACCAGCAGACACTTTGGAGATAATTTTCTCGTGTTATTGCTGTCACAGTCCCGCTGGCTACAGGAAGTCAGTAACTGTCCCCCAATTTCACTCCAGCTGTGAGACAGCTCTGGCTGTAATGAAGACATTTCCTATTGTTCTGCAAAGTGAATCATTTTGTAATTTCCTTTCATAAAAAATACATAATAACAATACAACATCTTCATTTGAAATAGAGAGCAAGGGTTCTGCAACACATAATATCTCTCTGAAGCTGAGAATAACTCAGGCACTGGTGACTTTTCGAGCTGTAGTTTTCTAAACGTAATATTGTGTGCCCGCTGTATGCAAGAAACATGCAATTGCAATTCAAGGGTAAAGCATACAGAAATAATATGTTATGAACCATTGAAGAACAGAACAGAAGCAGAAACTGTTTCTAAGAATCTCATAGTTCTTCATGAAGGAAGCCTGCCATCTGCTGGGCATTCACAAAGAGCCATAGAATTATACATATGAATATGCCTTGTATTTATGTGTCTATTCAGAACATGCACACATAACAGCAATCACGTAACATCTCAATGATAATGACTGATTTACACAGATTCTGACCTATCTGCAATTAGTTTTTAGATTTTGTTTATGTTAGAATCCATTAGTCACCTATACTCCCTGCAACAAGACACATACACGAATGATAATGATGAAAATAGAAACATGATGTTGTACATAATGTGTGTAGATAATAGGCGGTATTGAATAACATAACTCACCTTCTAGTTGCCCCTTTAGTAAGTCATTGTGAGAATTACCTTTTTACTAAGTTTTTCTTCTCTCATATTCACGTAATGTTATGTATAAAAAACATCTACTGTATACAGTTTGTGTAGAATACAAGATTAAAATACTAGAGGTTAGGTTACAATATAATAAACCAACCTACTACTATAAAACATATACCGGTAAATACTAGTACAAGTAGTAGTAATAAAAGTGTGAAAAACTTTTATTAAGTTTTTACTAACATTTAAAGTGAAATCAGGTGGAGTGTGAGGACAATATGTGCAGATTGTTCAGGGTCATTGAAAGTACAAAACAGAAACTATGAATAATGTGAAGTAACGCTGTATCTGAACTGTTTGAACCTGAGTGGGAAATAAACATCAAGACGCAACAAAGACATGTGTTTGTCCATCTGTTAAACGAACCTCTCTTTCTGCTTCCAGAGGATTCCTCGTCAGAGAGCGGCAGTGGGAGCGGGCTGCCGGCTCTGACCCCCCCCTCCTCCGCTGCTACGGACGCTGCTATAGTCAGGGACACCGAGGTCGTCAATGGCAACGGCGGCCCCGCCCCGCTGGACTTCAGCACGCCTACGTCCTCCTCCTCATCGTCTGAGGACCAGCAGCCCATGAACCTGAGCGACCCCCCCCCCTCAGCGCCTGTCCTCCTCTCACCTGCCCGTCACCGTGTCGGTGGCGGCGGCGGCGCTGCTCGGCGCTCTGCACCCCGAGGAGCTCCGCAGGAAGTACCCGCTGGCTCCCAAACCCTCGCTGACCCCACACCCTGCCCTGCCTCTGCCACACACACACACACCTCACACACATAATGCACACACTCCCAACACACACTCGCAGTCCCACTCACACACTGCCGAGCTGCGACTGGAACGAGACGGCAGGGATTACGGGGGCAAGGTGAGACAACACAGCAGACACACACACAAACACACACACAAACTGTAAATCCATACACAGTACACACACAAGTGATTGTTTACAATAAGATTACGTAAGAAAGGATTTCAAGAAGTATATTATATAGCTTTAATTATTATTATATAAAGACGGAGATTTTAAATCTTAATGACCCCCTGCAAGTGCTCTTGTACTTGCTTCCCTATTTGGGGAATAGACAGACAGAAACATTCTACTTACCACCATGTCTTCAGACTATACATTTTAAAAACGACAACGGAAAAGTGGCTTGTCCAGTGTCCAAGAGTCCAACCCCTTTTAACAACAAGAAGTCAATGATACAGAGATAAGTACATTGAAGAAGCTGGATCCACAGAAATGTTGCATTTTTCCTAAATAAATCACTGAAGTCGATTTTTGGGAAAAACTTGCCGGTTTATATTCTTTCCAAATTATTGTTGTATCACCTTTCCAAAGACTGATAAAATGTTTTAGTTTGTTAAGCTGATATTTGTCTCTTTGATGTCTCTCGAGTGTCCCAACAAAACACTTTTACTTCAGGTTTTGATTGACACAATGAACCCCTTAAACCTATTGATATTGATCAAATCAGGTAGACAGTACATAGATAGCCAACTCTAATATAACCCTTCATCATGTGTGTGTTCAGTCCCCTCAGTACAGTTCTGGCGGCAGCTACGACAGTGTGAAGATGGAGTTGGGAGCCGAGGATCTGACCACAGGACGCCAGGTCGGCCCCGACGACGACGATGACGACCATGACGACCATGACGACAACGACAAAATCAACGAAGCAGAGGGAGTCGATCCCGAGAGACTAAAGGCCTTCAATGTAAGTCTGAGAGAGGGTGTTACATTATGGGATCAATAAGGTGTCTCCTTATATCCATTAAGTAAAAAACACACTGTTCATCCTGTAAAATGTGTCAGTGTCATTAATCACAAACACACTCCATGGCACAGACCCTAAAAAAATAACAAGATACTGCAAGCTATTATTGATCCTTACAGGGGAAATTCTGCTGATGCAGCAACACAAATACAGAAATACATACAGAATAGATAGGTTAAAATAAGGTTAAAATAAGGACTTACAACTAGAATAAGGGTAAAAACTATTTTGAAAGAATGATCTATACAACAGGAAATAAAGATAAGAAAGAAGCTACGAAAAAAGTTACAATAATATAAATGTGTACACCAGAATAATATATACTCAAATGTAGTAGTGATACTTTAAAAAGATAAATGACTTGCATAAAAACAGACTTAAAGTTCTCATTATGCAATTCAAATGTTTATTATATGTTGCTGCTGGTAAAGGCAGAGCACATTTTATTTACTTTATATTGTTCTAACTTGTGGGTTCACTGTGTTGTAATCATATCCAAGCATAAATAAAAACATTTTGTTTTGTCATAAGAAAACATCCATGGAAAATGATACAATTAAAAAAACATGACATTTCAACAGATTTATTTGTAAGTAGAACAGAACAAGTTTTAATTATTTTATTGAACAATCATTTGTTTAATTGAAGAACAAAAACATGAATGTTGAGTTAAATATTAATCATCCCCCCCCCAACACCACTCATTCAAAAATGCACAAAAATGCACCCCCCATCCAAAGATCCCCACAAGAAATCATCTGTGCATGTGATGGAGGAATGCACAGTGCCTGTAGGGGGTGTGGTCTCAATAGCCATGCAGTAAGCAGTGTGCTATGTGCATGTGATTGAAGTGTACTTGAATGGCATCTGTTTGTTTTAGTCAAGATTATGCTCAAATATACTTTCCCCAACTATATTTAAGTTCCCTATGAAGAGCCAACCTTCAATTTTGAAAATTCCCAGTTTATTCCCGTTTATTCCCATAAATTCCCGTTAATTCCCATGGAAAGTTTCCATCTTTGAAAATTCCCGGAATTTTGCAACCCTAAGTATACTAGTAAAAATTACAATATTTACTTCTTGTACTTGGTAACATTATACCACTTCATGTACAAACAAATTGATAAGACAACTTAACGGAGCAAGTTATACACAAATTAACTAAAAAACAAAAACCCAATAACCCATTTAAAAACATTTCATTAACTGCTGTGTTTTCTGTCTGCAGATGTTTGTGCGTCTGTTTGTGGACGAGAACTTGGATCGAATGGTTCCCATCTCCAAACAGCCTAAGGAGAAGATCCAGGCCATCATCGAGTCGTGCAGCAGACAGTTCCCAGAGTTCCAGGAGCGCGCCCGCAAGCGCATCCGCACCTACCTCAAATCCTGCCGACGCATGAAGAAGAGCGGCATGGAGGTACGTACCAGCGAGGCTGAATGTCTGTCTTTGAAACAAAAGCCCAATATCTCTTTATTGTTAAGGAATATACATGGTATGTTTTTGTGTGTGATTTTATAAGGCTAACATTCACCAACAATGACTAAAACACACCAATAACTCTCTCAAAAAACAATTCATTGTTTTGTATGATTTTCATTAGTTTAACATTAGCTAAGGTCTGTTTTTAATTCATGACATTGACTATGGGTATTCCTTCTTTAGTGTACTTTTAAGATAAGATAAGTAGTTCAAACAGCAACAGGGAAAGGATGAAAAACAGGATAGCACAGATTCACACAGGTTAATAAAATCAAAGATAACAATTTTAAATGATGAATAACCATCAAATAAGAAATGAATTAAAATGAGCATACATATTGGGTCATATAAACTATGAAGTAAGAAATGAATGAAAATGAACATATATACATATTCCGTCATATGTTCTTAACATCAGTAAATCCCAGGATACATGTTTAATTAATCAACAGTATTTGCTGCAGTACTGTTATAATGCAAAGGCAGTGTGATTGGATGTGTTTGTACGAATGCAGGAGGGGTGTATGCTTTGAACATTATTACCAGGTAGTAACAGATATGTCACAATGTGTCAGTCACTGAAAAGTCTCTGCTGCCCCCCAGTGGTGAATCATCATATTGCACTATGTGTTAATACCTGATACACAGGAAGGTGTTCTTCATTTTTATTGTGACAAAATTGCCTTCAAATACCATTTGTATCAGTCTGCATATAATAGCAAAGCATGTTTTCTGGGATTGAATAGCTTTAATACATTGTTTTCCAAAGCTTACGTAAAGTTTAAGATTTCAGAATCTAATATGCAAACAAGAGTTACAAATGGAAAACATTATTTTATTTATACAGAACTTTACAACGGAAATGTACAAAGTGCCTGACATGGTTTAACCAGGAACAAAATATTTCAGGACTACAATGAAATAAGACAATTCAAGTAAAATAAAATGAACACATATAATGCAAATAATACAAATCCAAAACATTTAACAGAAGAAATTAAGTAAATAATCAACATCATTCCAGTGTAGTATAACAATTATATGTATGGAGCCTCCTGCCCCTCTCTGCCTCATTTCCTTCATCGCTTTGTTGATGTTCTGTCTGTTAACGGAAATATATTATAATCACTTTCTCTTTTTCCCTCTGTAATTCAATTCCATAATATGTTTGTGTCTGCAGACCCGCCCCACTCCGCCTCACCTCACCTCGGCCATGGCTGAGAACATCCTGGCTGCCGCCTGCGAAAGTGAAACACGCAACGCCGCCAAGAGGATGCGCCTCGACACCTATCACGTAAGATAGCGTTTGTGTGATGATCTTCAAGTCTTGTATTTAATGCTCAAATAATGTTTTTAAAGAGGCAGAACTATAGACCTAAGGATATTTCTACTATAATCACACTCATAATCAAGAGAGTCATGCAATATAAATATGTCTCCATCTTGATTGATTAGAAACTCTCATTCAAATTTCACACAATTTATAATTTGTGCTGCTTTAGGCAAAGATTTATTTTTGTATATACAGAAACACAAACATATTTCCCAAATGTTGTGGAGGCAGTTTTCCTGTCAGTCAGTGATGTGATTTATAGGATTCCTCTTCAACTCTCAAACTTGTGGACTCAGTCTATTGCACACTCTGCCGTAAGATTTATCACCGCTGATGTCTATGGAACACACCATTATATTTTATATGAAAGGGTTGGGTGGTTTTCCTCTCCGAGAGAGATATGATACTCACTGTTTTCTTTATATCTATAAAGCAATTTACTGGAAAATAACTATATTACCGCTCAGAATTGCTCCATCACTCTTTAAAGTCACGCTCTCCTGCTTCACAAACTAGGTCTACTACACAACAACCTTTTCACTTGTATCTTTAGGACATTTTAGAAATGTGATCTTAAACCTTCCAATCGTTATACATAACTGTATGTCATTTTGTTTATAAATGTATCAATACAAAATCATCTACCTTTTATTGAAAATATCTAGGACTTAGTAACTGCATTTTATTTTACATTTTAATTATCCTCATTTATCTATCATACTTTTTACATTATATTATTCTGGAAGGGGCCTTTTTAAAGAATGAGTACTTTTACCTAAAGTACAAATTGAAGCAAATACTTTTGTACATTTACATCGAGTACAATTGTAATGTAGGACTTTAATAACATTTTATGGTCATAGTGTTTCTACTTTTACCTCAGTAAAGATTTAGTTGCATGTTTTATCCTCCAAGATTGCTGTTTTTAGTTTTGAAACTGACCGCCCGTGGCTCCCTGTCTCCTCCCCAGGACGAGCCCGTCTCCCTGGACAAAGCGTCCGGTGGGGGGGGGGGGTCTGCGGGAGCCGGCGTCCCTCGCTCACTCGGCCTACTCCCTGGCCGCCTCCGCTTTCTCCTCCCAGGACTCCCAGCTCTACATCAACGGGGCCGGCCTCAGCTACGGTTACCGTGGATACCCGGGCCTGGGCGCTGCCATGCAACACCCCGTTTCCCAGACGACCGGAGCTGCTAGTCAGAGCAACGGTGAGGATGATAGTGGGGCGGAGGAAGAGATGGAGAGGAAGTGGACCACATGTCATAGTGAGAGGGAAAAATGAATTAAAGAGAGGAAGTCAAGGGGGGGGGGGGGGGAGGGAAGCAGCATTAGTGGGTAATTTGTAGATGAATAAGGAGGAGATGGAGAAGGAGCTGCAGAAGAAAAGAGATCAGTGAAAGGAGAAGGAGCAGCAGATGGCAGTTTGAAACAGCTAACACACACGCACACATACACACACGATACTGACGTCAGCATTCCTGAAATATGGAGCTAAAATACTACAGCCTTTTCAAACTGATGTACATGTTCCTCTTAAGGGGCTTTAGTGTCCCATCAGTTTTTGTAACTGTTCCAGGAAGAAGTGCTCCTCAAAACAGCGTACTGTACATGCTCAGCAGACTTACTCTCAAATCAAGGTTTAATAAGCAAGTCACAGATAACTTCAAAATTCAAAAGTAAAACTCAATATTTTTGCTAACCGGTCAACTACAGATCCGTTATTTCCCAATAGTTTTAAGTTACAGCCATTTTGGTATCTTCATATCTCTCATAGATCTCAAGATCTTGTTGAAATATAGTCTATAAAGTTTAAAGAGGGTTGCAAGTTAGAAAGCTTCACTCCTGAACACACCCTGTGTCCCCGCTGGGTGCGGTCAGAGTTCTGTGTGTCACCTGTAACCACACCCAGCCGTGATTACAAGGTTACAGTATTGCCATGACACACGTGAACACTATTTACATGAATGAATAAAGAGATGACAAAGTGTCATAAATGCATACAGACATGATCAGCTAGAGCTTCAGCAAACAGGTTAGCTAGTCATAGAAAGCTTCATGTTCTCTTTCAGGCCATTATTCAACCCTCATCTCTTGCCATTATAACACTTAGAGAGTTGCACCAACAGGCAGATGCTTTTTACTCTCAACACACAACTATAAGTCCAGTTTAAGTGTTTAGCGTCCTGTTTGCAAACCCTCATTATCTGCAAGATGAAGTTTACACAAGTTCTCCCCCTTCTTACCTGGGGCTGGACAAGCTTTAATAACTGTCATTTTGAACTGACTGATCTTTCTCTTTTCTCTCCCTGTGACTCCTCTCCTTTTCTTCATTTCACCTTGTATTATTGTTTCCTTTCACTTCACTCCTTCTCCTTTTCTCATCGATCCATCTCTCATGTATATCTCCCCCCCCTCACTGTCTCCCTCCTCTCCCCTCACATTCAGGTCCCACAGACCTCAGCATGAAGTCTCTGTCCTCCGCCAACATCAGTAACTCCTCCCCTGCCTCCACCAACAACAGCCTGGGTGGGCGGGGCAGCGGGGGTGGAGGAGGGGGCGGGGCTTCCACCCAGCTCAGCCAACCAGAGATCACCGCCGTGCGTCAGCTGATCGCCGGCTACCGGGAGTCGGCCGCCTTCCTGCTCCGCTCGGCCGACGAGCTGGAGAACCTCATCCTGCAGCAGAACTGATTTGGGGAAAACGTGGGAGAACACACACACACACACACACACACACACACACACACACACACACACACACACACACACACACACACACACACACACATCTCCCTTCATGTTTGTGAATGTCTGCGTCCCCCGCCTCTCCTAATCAACCAGACCTCCTCCTGTTTTACTCCTCCCTCCTTAAATCTGCCTTCTCTTCGGACACTGTGGCCACTTTGCATTTTTTGGAGGAAAAAGTGGGAGACGGGGACGGAGGGGACGGAGAGGGAGGGAGAGAAGTCCCACCAAACGAGCCCCAAAACAATCCCCCACATCCTCAATCCAGTTTATCTGCCCGAGGAGGGAACTAATGAAGAAAAAAGGAGCATTGGGACTCTGAAGGATTCTCTTCCTCTCCTCTCTGGAAGCACCTCATAATCAGCACCACACTCTGAGAGAAGGAGTGTGGAGGAGAGGAGGAGAGGAAGAGAGGAGGAGGAGGAGCAAAGGAAGAAGAGTAAAGGACTGATGATTCTGCTGCTGCGGTTTCAGATAAAAAGACTCCTCGTGGGTGGAGTGAAGTTTTGGAGCTCCAACAGTTTTGATGGGAGCCCGGGCCAACGCCGTCTAATGATGATAACAATTTCAAATAAATAACGACTTCCTGAGTTAGTACTACTGAAGCTCTTTGTTAAATGACCAGTGTTTTTGATTTAATGGAAGAATTCATTTGTTTTTTTGGGAGTCCAGTGCGCCTATTTGTTTGTTTGTTTACTTTTCCCAAGTGACTGAAAGAAAGGAGCGGTTTGAGCTATCTTGACAGAAAGCACTGACTCTGAGTCCGGAGGGGTTAAAGGATGGAAACTGGAAAAGAAAAAAAAGAAAATGTTTGTTTAAAAAAAGAAAAAAGAAGGGGGAGAGAAACTTTGTGTGTGCTCGCTTGTAAATAAGCTCTCTGTGTCCTATAGCACTTTTCCCTCACCTGAAACCTCACCTCCTCCTCACCCCTTTTACCCAGGGAGCAACTTGCTACTTATGCATCCAAGACGCCATGTTGACCGCCAGGAAATACCTCAGATCAGACCTGCCAATTTCTGTTCCTCTCACACTCACACACACACACACACACACACACACACACACACACACACACACACACACACACACACACACACACACACACACACACACACACACACACACACACACACACACACACACACACACACACACACACACACACACACACTCTCACTCTGCAAGTGAATGGTAACATCTACCACCTGATGTCTTCAAGGTTTATATATCATGGGGGGGAGAATCAAACTTTATTGCGCAAAATGACCTGTAATGTGGAAACGATGAAGCATTTCAAAGAACTGATGATTGAACACTGACATCTTAGAACTTTTTTCTTTCATCTGTGCGGGTTTACTTCGTGTGCTGCTGTATATAATCAGTTCATCTTGAAAACTTGAGAGAAATCAGATGGGAGAGGAGTGTGACTCTCTCCTTTAATGGGAGGGAGAGGAGGGTGTGTGTGGAAGGGAGGGGTTAAATATTGATCACTGGTGGACAATTTTACCTCCCGCTTCTACTTTTTACAAATGTAGACGTAACGCCAACGAAACCTCAGCATCGTTCTGTTTACCTCCCCTCCCTCTCCCTCTCTTCTTCTTCTCTCATTGGACCTACTCTTCTTCATGGACCTAAACGTCCCCCTCTTCCTCCGCCCTGGTTTGGTCCAGGTTTAAGAGGAAGAGGAGGAGTCTTACTGTGTTTGTCTGTTAAACTCTGAGATGGCCATTATTATTGTTGTTATTATTATTATGATTATAATGATGAACTCTCATGTTGCTGCTGCTATACAAAAGCCGGACCTTCTGCCATAGACCTGAAACCTCAACAAAGCCGGGCGTTAGCTAGCCGCAGTGCCCGTGAAAACCTGACCGACCGACCGACCGACCAACGAAGCAAAAACAGCAGGACTCATTGAAAACACTCCTGCTTTCATTCCCCCCCCGCCCCCCGTCCCCCATCCCCCGTCTCTCTGACCGGTTGGTTGGTTTCTTTGTTTTTTGTTTGCTTCATAGGGCTTGATTCATGTTGTGTTGTGTGACTTTCTAACTGTGAATTCCTTCAACCTTTTATTTTGTATTGCCGTATTTCATCCTCTGGAGGGATGTATTAGTGGAGTCTTGCACCTTCACTGTGGTACTCCATATCAGGCCAACAAGTACACACTTAAACCTCTCAAGGAAGCAAAACAGTCCACTTTCTAATCCTGATTAACCGTTTGTTTGTTTTTTTATGATGGGACATTTTGTTGGTTCATTTAATCCAGAAAGAAAGAAGAAAATACCACTGAATCACCACAGATACAGAAAAATCAAGTAAATCCTGTTAAAAGAATAGTTATGTATTTAATAGTGAGATGACAGATTGATTTTGAGACAGCAGCCAGTTAGCTTAGCTTAGCATAAAGACGGGAAACTACGCTCTGTACAAAGGTTTGAAAATGATCCTACAGTACCGCACCTGGCTGAAAAAGACGTTACATCTTATAAAACAAAACACATGTATTGACTTTCTTTTTAAAGAGTAAACAAGTGGGATATACCATTCTAATTAATATGCTTTTAAGGTGCCGGTTAGCAGATTTTGTTATAACTGTTCCCTTGTTTTATAGTCTCTGTGCTAATCTAGCTGGCTCCAGTTTCCTATTTAGCTGTCACGTTGGAAAGAAGCTACTTTACTTTTTTTAAACCACCACTTAGTTTTGTCTCTTGGTAAAAAGAAACCACATTATGGAGTTTCTCCTAACTTCTGGTTTATCAATGAACTCCTGAAGTATCAGAGGTTTGCATTTGAACAAAAGCGTGACTTAAATCCTCCGAGCCATCGCTCTGTGTGCTGTGCTTGTCCTGTGGTTTCTACTCAGCTCTACTGTCATGTCACCGTGATTTGCTCCCTTTTTTGCACACTGAGCGAAGCAGCAGTCATCTGTGATTTGAAGGGGCGGGGGGGGTGCTCTCTGTGTGTACCCCCCCCCTCCCTGACTTGCACTGCTGAAGTCAGACAAGAGCCGTGAAAGAGGAGCGGTGTGTTTTTTTGCAATGCAGTTGATAATCATAGCATTCACTGGTGTTAGATTGTGTTTCATGTCAGCCTGCAGAGCGGAGGACATGTTGGAGCGTGTCTCTCAGGAGGTGTGATCTCACCTCATATCTGAACAAACCTCCATCCAAACTCTCACTGATCTACATTTGATGTCCAAACCAACACATCAACTCCAGATCAGTTCAAAATGTAAATGATTTGATTTATGGCTGATTAGATATAGAATTGTAAAAGTTGTTTTGTTTGTACTTTTTCCCCAAACTGGAAACTCTGTTCAAAAGTGTACTGATCATCGAATGACACGAGAGAAATATGCAAAAATATAATGACCCAGACAACCTTTAAAAATGCTCTTAAAGGTGACAACACACACAAATATGAATCACTACAGTACATTTAGGTTATCCCTGAAAAAATATGATTTGAATTAGAGGAAATCCCACAATGTAACATGTTGTGAGACCCACTGAGGTACAATCAAATGTTCCTCTAATTTCTCCCTAACTTAGCATCCATTCAATTCAAGTGTTTTTTAAGAAATGGAGGAAATCAGCAAATGTACATTCTCAAATATTAGATCAAAAAGAAAGGAACACAGCCACAGTTGGAGTAAATGATTCAGTACAACGTAACCTCCCCAGTCTTTAAGATTGAATTATCCTCAGGCTGTATTTCTTAAACTGCAGCTTGAAAACAAAAATGTGTCTAAACATATTTTCTTTCTTTTTGTACTAATGAGGTCTGGTAAGGAGGACGAAAGTATTATTATTTTAGTCTCCCTGTAAAGAGGCTCTTATTGCAGTTAACCCCGCTGTTTCTCTCCTCAGCTAAACAGCTTCTTTAACATTTCCAAGAATAACTACTTTAGCACACACGACTGGACCCCTGAGATCGCCCAAAAGGAATCGAAACAAAGTGCCCGAGTTGAAGTATTTGAAGTGATAATCAAGTAGTCGGTCAGAAGAGCCAGAGGGTCACGTTGGGGACTTTTATCTCACCGGTTCCTAAGTGTCAACCTTAGTGTTTTCTACTGTACGTGTTTCTGAGCCCAGGTCAGTTTACTTATAAGTCAGAAAGTTGCAGAACCGCACCACAAAAAAAACTGTACAAAAAAATAAATAGGCAAATGACAATCTTTAGAAAGGTGTAATTTGCTGTTTGATTTGCGACGGCCTGTTGTTCAGACTGAGTGTTTCAGCCGTAATCAGAGCGTCCGTTCTCCTCCTAACGGCCAACACATTTTTATTTTGCATTATGATTATCAATGTTCCTTTCAATATTATTATTTATATAGATATTTTTTGTAGTGCAAGTGAAGTGGTCTTTTTTGAGAAGATATTTTGTACAATACTTCAACAGCTTCACTCTGTTTGCCTATACTGCACATTCCCAACATGGATGTCAACAACGCGAGGCCTGACCGGCATCACAAACATGTATCTGCTCGTTCAGCTATCAAGCGTTATTCTACCACCAAAATCAAACAGCTCTATGAAGGATATAAGAATTCAAGCTGCATGTTGACCTTTACCGTTCAATAACTGCTCCTCAGTGGGTGTAATGTCTCTCAAAGGTTTACACAGAGACGTGACTTTAGGATCACGATCCAGCATTGATCCACTGTAAAAAGGATTCAATCTTTTGAGGCCAGAGGAAGAGAAAAGGTCACAGCGACTTCCTGACCTTGCAGAGGAACAGTATTAATGTCATAAATTATCGCTAATGTAAAGGTCCAAGTTACAGTGATGTATAGCTCCTGTAAACACATGCAGCTTTGACTGTGGAGGGTTATTCAGCTTTCAAAAACAGTCCTAAATATGGGCTTGCTTTTCAAGTGAAGAACCTTATTTAAATTAATTGTTTTTACACAAAGTTACCTCCACATAGACGTTTCTTGTGTTGCACATGTTATGACTTCCTACGAAGAAACAAAGTTGAAACATATTTTAACCAATTCAAGCATAAAAACTGTTTGTTAAAAGAGAAAAAATCTCAAAATACTGTGAGCTTCGCCGTAACTTTCCCCTAGTTCTTTTTAGTTTTTACCACATATTTATTTATTTAACATTTTTATATTACATTTGATTTGTTTACAATTGTTCCAGCCTACACAATGTGCTTCTTTGCATTCCTTTAATTACATTTTTATAGAAGAAATCCACTTAATTTGACTTTTTGTTTTAGTTATTTGCATATTATACGATGTGTTTAGTGTGAAAACATCGGAATTAGAACTTGAAAAAAACAAGTATAATTTGTTTCTATTTGTCCAATAACCTTAATTTAACCTCATTTAAGGGATTAATACGCTTCTTTGCTTTCTTGCCGTGATTGGATGAGAAAATCGATACCACTCTCAATATTGACCTATTCATATAACTCTGCAAGAAAGCAAAAAGCCTATTAACTAACATGTCAAACTATTCCTTTAAAAGTCTGAGTGCTTTGTGGTAGCTGCAGACAGATCTCTTTTTAAAACTCAGACATCATTGTGCAATTTAAACCTGAAACCACCAGATGATCTGTGATGCCGGTCAGCTCCCAAACTTCTTGAGCCAGTCTGGTCAGATGTAAAGCTCAACATACAAAAAACTCAAAGGAGAAAAAGTAATGGACCTTTTTTATTTTTCTATCAGGGCAGGGTGTACAGCTACTGTCTGAATCAAACAATGGCTTTCTGAGCCGTTTGTCTTACTGTTTTATTTGTTCCTTTTCGGTGGTGCTTGAGATTATTTTATTTTCTAATTGTTAGCGATACTTGATTCTGCTCTCTTTCTGTCTTCACCTGACTTTGTACCGGACTCTTGATTGTCTTGATTTCCTGCGTCGGGGCTTTGTACCTAATACCAATGTAAAACCTGTATTCTCCTCATGATTTGACTCAGTGGAAGTGTGATGTTTACATGTACAGATTTTTGCGATTCTTTCTGGTTTGTTTTTTGTTTTGTTTCCTCTCATCTCTCTCTTTCTCTCTCTCTCTCTCTCTCTCTCTCTCTCTCTCTCTCCACCCTCATCCCTGTTTTCAGTTAATCTGACTACACACTGAAGGGAAATGGGACTGCGTTAAAACACAAGTATCACCATTTCACACATAAGCCTATCGCATGCGGGGACACGTTGACATTTTTCATTTCAGTCAGAGCACTTTTCTTCACCAGACTTTTTTAAGCATCCTTTTAGAAATGCCTTGTTAGCGTTCAGTTAGCAATTGTGCTAAAGGTGCCCCTATGTTTCATTGAGGAATGCTAACAGCTAGTCTTTGCTTGATTACTTTTTTGTGTTTTGGTGAAGAAACGTTGCGCATCTGAAATTGAAAGCGTGATGTTCCCGTACAAAACCGATTGTTTGGGAGGGGGGGAGTCGAGCTGCGTTTGTTGGCTTAGAGGGGGCTGACCTTTGACCTCTCGGCTAACTCCACAGCACACAAAATCACAGCGTGGCCACCATGACCTCGGCTGGTGTGACCACGATCGGGTGGAGATGATTCCTCAGTGAATGATAAGCCATTACAGACCCTGTGTGTCGGGTCTCTTAGTCTATTAGTATATTTAGCAAAACTTTAAACTGCAGAAGACAAAACTCAACCTCAGGAAGAAAAAAAAGGACATCACTTTTGTAAAAACAAGTCTATCTGGAAGCCCATTTCCCTCTCTCTTTGATACCATATAAATTATATCAAAATTCTTTTTATATTTATTGTGTTTATTATTATATATAACAGTGGATATCTTTTTTCCAGTACCTGTGGCTAAATATTTTGATTCTTTAGAAAAGTGTTGATAATATGTGAAGCAACTTAAATGATGGAGAAAAAAAAAAGAAATGAAATCTAGGGTTATTTTTTTCTGTTTGTTGAAGCGGTACGGGCGTTTGTGGAGCCCAACAACGAGAACATATCACTCTGGTCCATGACAAAGAAACCAATGATTGAAAAACTGAGCTTTCTTTTGTGTGATGTCTCTGCTAAGGCTAAAATGTTTCTGGATTTTGAAAAAATTGTGACCATTTAGTTTTGTTTTTTTGTTTTCTCCCGAGCTGTACGTCACAAAGCTAAATATACTAATAAAACGGTGTGCTATCTATGAAACAGAGCCGTGTCTTTATTTCATATTCCACACTCAAGGTTCATGATTGTTACTTGCTTTTATTAGAAAGTAGCAGAATACATTTACACAAATACTTTTTGGAGTTACCTGAATACTTTCTGTTAATGTTGCTTTCTACTTCCACTCTATTGTCCTATAGGGACATTTATACAGCTTACTTTGCATTAACGTTTTACTATAAATGAAACACATATACACTTATCCATTGAAAAATAACTCAAAATGGTTCCGAACTCTCTAAATGCTAAACACATTTCTTACTGTACATGTCTGTTGTTTGTTTGTGTGTCTACATGTTTATGTAGAAAAGACATGAAAAAGTCAACCCTAACCCTCAACACAACTTAAAGAAACCGCCAACCTTTTTCCAGAGATCCTCAACATGCTGGGTGTCTAACTGAGCACCATGGAGAGCCAATCAAACACAAACACTTCACCCACTGATAATCACAGGAAACAACTCATCAGTTAATGCTGAGGTCATCAGTTGGACCTAAAGCCCGCTGTGTCCTAAAACTCCTCCTGCTCAGAGACATCCCACATTCAGGCTGTGCTAAAACACATGTAGCACATGGTTACTCCTTTAAGTCTTAGGCAACATTAAATAACGGCTTAGGTTTCATCAAAACGTTTGAAGCTGAATCAACATTATAGTTAGTGTGTGGGATCATGCAGGACTATGAGAAGCCTTTAGTTTTACTGATCATCACAGACCTGTATTCGAAATAAAAAATACTGTTTACAGGTGAGCATATCAATTGACTGTTTAGTCTATAAAATGTCAGACGACAGCATGTGGATCACAAGTTCCCAGTGACAGAGCTGCTGTCTTCTTGTTTATTCTTGATCTGTCCAACCAACTGCAACCAAATAAACGTTCGATAAACAACATCATAAAAAGCTAAGAAAATCATTTTGAAAATCATTAAAAAGGATTAAGTGACTGTCAGAATTGTTGCAAATATATTTATTTCATCAAGTAATAATATGCCGTCATGGAGTTTTACATGTCAGAAAGTGTTTTAATAATGGACCAAAGATTTATAATACTGCAAGAACAATTGTTTAGCAAACACAGACTCCAACGTTTACTCAACCAAAATGACATTCTCTCCCACTAAAACACACACACACACACAGTTTGTCAGCAGCCTCCTCCCTCAGTACGCAGATGTGTGAGCAGCAGGAGGTGTGCGCAGCGCCAAACCCAAACTTTTTTTACGCACCTGGCCGCTGATTCACCTCTCCTCCTCTCGTGGATTAAACACCTGCACCGAGCATCAGCTGCTGCAGCCGCTTCATCTTTTCCACAAGATTACGATGGATTAACATTTTGTTTTTGGGAGCCATGCTCTCATTCTTTGGTGCTCTCTGCTCACACCGCCGACTCCTCGCGGGGAACCAATCCGACTTGGATGCCCTCCATTGCCGTTTCCGCATTCTCGCAGCCACCGTGCGCACTGCAGGCGCGGAGCTCAGATCCATGATCTCAACAGAAAAAACCGGTTCCTCCGGCCAGTCTACCCAAGTATTGCTGGCGGGGGCATTATGTTTAGAGCCAGAGGAAGAGAGAGAAACCGGAGGACTGACGGGCTGGACGTCGTTTCAGAGGACTGAGGAAGCCTGAAGCGTCTCATTGAGCGGAAGAACCTGGACTAACCGCCGCCGCTTCATGTCCCGGGATGGAGGGCTGCTGTCGCTGCTGCATGCCGTGTTGTAGCCGGCTCTGGAACTACATTTGGCCGGACTTCCGCTACCCGAACGTCCCCAACAACAACAACCATGTCATCGCCAACCCGGCCGCGCAGACGGCGGAGATCCGCACCGTGTCCGGGGACATCCGCGTCCCGTCGCCCAAGAAGCGGCAGGTGCAGCTTTACGCGGCGCTCTTCGACTTCGAGGCCCGCAGCAACGACGAGCTGACGGTGAAGGAGGGGGACAAGCTGTCGGTGATCGAGAAGCGGGGGGAGTACGTGCTGGCTAAGAAGCTGACCGGGTCTCTGGAGTCCGGACTGATCCCAGCCAACTACGTGGCTCTGCTGCAGGACGAGTTCGCCAAACACAAGTGAGTCTGAAAATAATCCTCTAATGTTCTTCAGTCTCACCTGATCTCGCTGAGAACTGATGTTTATGTGTCATTTTTGAATGTGTCAGGATCTGTTAAATTCGCATGTGTTTGATATACATTTAAAGGCACAGAAGGTTCAAATATTCAAAATGACCATACACCTGTTTTTATTCTGATAACTGAGACACCCTGGTAAAGCTGACCGAGGGTTGACCTCCTGCTTTCATGCAGGAAATGTAGTCATGAACTGGTTCAGTCACAAAAATGATCAATGTAATCTCAGGGTTCGATTACACCTGATCTATTGTGGCAAATGTTCTGTTATTGGACTTGATTTGACTTATAAAGGCCTTTTTCTAATAGAGTCCAATTGTTATATTAAAATATATTTATAACTGAAACTATATCTTAAATGGTCAATCAACCAATCTCCATTTGGCTTATTTTCTTTACTGTTTAGTAGAGGATCAATATAAATATGCAACAATACTCCCATTACTGATTAATAGTTGTTTTGTTTTTTACAAAAATGGGGAAAATCCACTGGTTCACCATCTAATTTTGCCTAGTTTTTTTATATGGACAAAAACAGCAATTGGAAGGAAACCAATTGAGCTATTGTATTAGCAATTACTCAATTGTTAATTAATTTCTTGATACATTATTTGATTCATGAGTTTAAAACCAATTTTCCCAAAGCCCAAGTTAACTTATTCAAACGGCTGGTTTTATACCAAACAAAAAACTTTTAATACATTTTCTTAAGTTACAATGCCGTTTTATTTGCCTTAACCTACTTATTGATAATATTCCAAATAATGATGATTTACTATCAAAGTTCTCGTTGTGTAAAACTGTTTGTGAAGGCCTCAGTGGTCAATTCTACACTACCATCGCAATCAAGGGAGGCATTTGGTCAAACATATTGCAATATTAGATTTGAGTCATATTGCCCAGTCTTTCTTGAAGCCTCCTGGCATCACCAGATCTGCAGCTGAGAGCAGGCGAGAGGCTGCAGGTCGTCCATTATTTAGAGACTCCTCATGTTTCACAGAGCCGACCTCCAAGTTTTACCCCCCGTCTGTTTTCATGCTGCAGATCCCTCAGTGATCCTCACATGTCCCACTGTCCCCAAAGGGGCCCTATTATGCTTTTGGGGGTTTTCCCTTTCCAGTAGTGTGTTTTTATAAGTTTGTGTGCATGTCTGCAAAGGCTAACATCCCAAAGTTTCTCTCCACACTCTCCCTGTGCCTGAACACCTACATCGGACTCCTTTGTTTATTTACGTGACATGATGACATCATTACGTAACACCCACACTTCAATTGGCTATCACTTTAACACATCGTAGGTGATGTCCCGCTAAAGGCCAGCTAGCCAATCACAGCAGACTGGTCTCTGGTTTCAGACAGAGGGTGAAAAGAGGCAGTATGAGGAAAACAAAGAGATTTTTGAACGTTAAATCATGTAAACATGTCACAGTAGAGGCAATAAATACAAATTTGACCCTGAAAATGAGCTAGGCCGCCTTTAAACACAACACCAAAGCATAACATAATGTATTCCTTCATAATAAAGCTTCATACTGACACAATGAGGAACATCTGAGCCTGACGGAAACTATAAATAAGACAAATGTGTGCTAGTTTCTTTTTATAGAATCTAAAGATCAAAGCACCTTTTTAGTAGTCATAATGTTTTATCACTAAGATTCCTTTAAGAAGATAAGCTCAGTTTCTAGTCACACCTAATGTACTCAGAGCTTCTCGTAATATTATCTCCACCCTATTTATTTAAGGAATTACAAACCACTCTCCTGGTATGATGCAATATAAAACAATGGCACAAAAGGCAGCCTCCCTGATGATCATACAATTAAATGACATAATTTCATGACAATACATCTTATCACAGTGCACAGCTGCTGCTTGAGTTTATCTTCACAGTAATGTTCACCTTTTCCATTTTAATCTCAAATGTGTCCATAGAGAACAATATTTCTGTAGTGCTTTATTCACGGATCTCTTTGTTTCTTAAGTCGCTGCTTGTACAGTAGTTACTGTCAGTGAAACTTGAGCATGCAGTCGGACCCGCCCTCCTGATAACTTAGAGTAAATACAGGTCAGTTTCTGTGTCCCAGCAAACAGGCAGCACGTACTGAAACAACACGTTTAAACACTCTGAATAAATCTTTCGAAACAATTCTCTGTTAGAGATATTAACTTCATGTATGATGGGTTTAATCGGTGAACGTATTCTGATCCTTGACTTGACTAAAAGTACTAGTACCACAAAGTAATAATATTCTAGTACAAGTAAAACTCCTGCATGTAAAACTGATGATCTTCTATCAGCAAAATGTACTTTAAATAGTCCCTTTTGAGTGTATATACCCTGTAGTAATTCTAATGGTATATAGTTATCATTCATATTTGTACAATCATATTGGAGTTAGACCATTATTAATCCTTCATAATGATTAACTAGTATTTATTTATTGTTGCTAGTTCTTTTAAATGGTTGTAATAATTCATTATTTCCCAATGGATTAATCTGCTGATGTGTTTTTGATTTATTGTCTATGCTCAAGACAACAAAACTACTTTTTGAATGTTTTTAAGCAAATAAATATTCCTTCAAATTATGTTACCTTTCACAATGTATAACTATATTTAAAAATAGACCAACTAAGGTAAAACTCAACTGCCTAACACTTATGTTATTTATTCTGGGACAAATGGCTTGTCATCCACACTGTGCTGAATACAAGTGACCCGACCTGTTGGTTAAACTGTGTTACTGTAATGTTTACCTCCTTCACTGTGATCATCAGATTGCATTGTTCAAAATGTGATATACAGTATGCGTGTGATACACATACACACACATTCTGCTTTTGTGTGTTGTGCATGTTCTTCCTTTCTTTGGTCCTTTAATTCATTCATATATTCATTCATTGATTTGATCACATGTTACTCTGTTTCCATTAATCATGATTGATGTGTTTTTCATTGTGTTAAACATCCGATCATACATTCATCTCACGATCTTTCTTCCTCCCCCCTCATCATCCTCTGTGTGTCTTCTCTGTGCAGGTGGTACTACGGGAACATAAACCGTGGGAAAGCTGAAAAGCTGCTGCTGGCTTCCCAAAACAAAGATGGCTCCTTCCTGGTTCGCATCAGTGAGAGTCACAGTGACGAGTACACCATCTCTGGTAAGAGGCACATCATACATCCACAAACCTGACTTTCCCTCTTATTTTCATACTCTTGCTCTCCTTTTTGTATTTGTTACACTCAAAACAGACTTCATACTCCCAATTATTTATTGTTATTGTTTCTTGTAGCTGTAGTGTAGCTTGCTGTGAAAGTAATTCAGTGTCGAAAACCACAATTACAAAGGTTTTTGATTAAGCAAACATCAAACTCTGTATTTTACTACATGAAATGTAAGATATTTCAGAAGCTTTATGCTGTCTGAGATATTAATGATTTAGCATAGCAATTGTATAGAAGAGGTATTATGTCTGTTAAAGAGCAAAATCTAGCTTAAGTAGCTAACAATTGTCACCATTAGTTAGCTGATATCAGATTAAGCTAAATTAGCATATAGCAAAAACCGCCAGTGATATCAGAAACGCGTTATCAGAAAAAAGTGATATTTGTTTGCTTTCTATACCTCTGTACTTGCAGCGTTTTTCCTTCATGAGTTGGCTTACGATTTCTTTGGTTTCAGGGTTCTTTCCAAGTGTGTGTGTTTTTGTGTGTTTTCTTCAGCTGCAGTGCTCTGAGCTCTCAGCCACTGTATCATGTTTTGGTACATGCTGCATTTCTTCTCCTCCTGCCTCCTCTGTTTCTCTCCTCCTGCCTCCTCTGTTTCTCTCCTCCTGCCTCCTCTGTTTCTCTCCTCCTGCCTCCTCTGTTTCTCTCCTCCATCCATCACCCCTCTGCCTCCACCGCCCTTCTCTCTCTCAAGGTCTCCAGCCAGCGTCAACCTTAATATCCCTCCCTTCGATTTTCTCCCTCTGCTCCCACTCTAGAGGGCGGGAGGTGTCACATCTCGCCCTCAGGACGCCATGTTGGAGGTCGATGGGGGCTAAAGCGTCTGATTGCAGTTTGAACTTGGAGGATTTGGTGTTGAAAACAAATCACTCATCTCTGTTTTGGGGATTTGTTGCTGGTTATTTTTGCCAGAGACTGACCAGTGTTATGTTTGGACAGTTGTGAATAACAGTACCCTACAAATTAAATTAGACACCTTTTTTAAAGCATTGTAGTGTATTTTTTCATCTTTCTGGATTTAGACGGAGTTCAATTGATGTTTACCACTGAATGAACTCTTCATGCTAAGCTAAGCATATCACCTAATGGCTCCAGCTTGATGGGCACATTGGCTGAATACGTGATTGAGAGTTGGAGAGACGAGAGCCAGTGTTGTCAGGGTTTGTTGTGTTAAACGTGCCGAAAGCGTAGTATATCTAAAGAATTTTCCCCGTCATGTTTGAATATTTGGCTTTCTTCAACAATATAGATGGGACCCAAGATTTGTGAACGAGACTTCTCATAGAATAACAATCAGCCTTGTCTCCATGCTTTTTTCTTTTTCGTCCTGTCTCAGTCCTTTCCACAATGTTGTCAGACACTCAACAATCAAAGCCTGGCAAAACCCAGCAATTGTAGTGATTGTTCATTGATGGTGCGCTCTTCCTTCAAGTGATGAATTGAAGCACTTTAATCTGCAGCGTCCTCACTCGATATTGGTAACATTTCTGAAATTGTAGTTACTATTTGTAATCCCAGAGTTACCCTAAGAGTATTACCAAAAGGTTGAACTCTTTCGTTAGTCATTTTAGCAGTTTTTATTTTAGGGAAAAAACCGACCGTGTCTTCGGGAAAATAGTGAAGTGTTAGCTGGTATATTTAGACCGCAGTATTTACTGTCTTTGTTCAGTTGTAGTGACCTACATTTGGAAGCTGGTCTTCTTGAACAAACTACACTTTTTATGAATGAGCTCACAGCAGATTCTCTAATGGACCTCCAGAGAGTTGTGACTGTAAGCCTCTGTTATCGCTCTCTGTCCTCTGCACCACCTCCAGCTCATTCCTCTCCTCTCTTTTTTGATTTCTCCCTTTGGTTTCTGCATCCTTTCCTCCCCATCCCTCCGTCCACTTCCTTCCTTCTATACCGTCCCCCCTCTCCCCCCTTCCTCTCTTTTTTTCAAGGTCCTTCAGGTCCCAGGGGGAAAACGCTGCAGTTAGACGTTCACTGTGCTAGTCCTGCTGAAATATGCATCATCAGTAGTCTGTGTGTGAACACGTGCCTGAGAGGAGGCAGAACACCACACCTTCAATAATTCTGTTTTATTGCTTGGATGCAAACACTCCTGTATGATTTACTGTCTCCACCTCGAACGTATAAACACGGCCATCTTCTTCTTTGAGAGTATAATAATATGGTTTGTGCTTTTCTGTGAGGACTACACTCATAGTGTCGGTAGTGTTTCTATTCTTTATATTTTATGTCTGTGTATCTGGACTTCAAACCACAGTTCTTTAGAAGAGGAAAGAAGAAGATGTACTTTATTAATCCCCACTGCCGCCCTTTAGCTTCCTTCCTTTTGTTTTAAAAAGACCTTTGTCAGCTTGGATAATAAATTGGGTGTTTGCAACGGAGACAAGATAACAGATAATTTGGTCTTTATCAGATCTCTCTGTTCTATAAAAGATGTGTTTCACATATTTAAGATAAGATACACTTGGAAATGTTTTCATGGGCAATACTGTAATGCTTCCAATCAACTGAAAACCGTATGATCTAACAACACAGTAAAATATACTGTGTATATATATATATAAATATACTGTGTATATATATATATATATATATATATATATATATATATATATATATATAGTATGTAGTATGTAGAAGATTGCACATGCATTGTGAGATAAACCACAAGTAACACAAATCATGAGATTATGTATCATTTCAATGTGGAACAGTTCAGAAGTACAGCCTGAATACATTAACTGAAATATTCTTTAAAACAGTGGGTGTCATGTTTATAAACTAGATGTCTAAAAAAACAAATGTAGTCAAATTTGAATGCAGTAACTATCAGAATATCAATGTTGTTTTACATGTCTGATGATGAAACTGCTCTGCTTGATCCCTGCTGTCCTTTCCAGAATAACTTTCTAAACAAACAACAGATGTTCTGGTTGTGAGAAAGACTAATGATTGAGTGATTCTTTGAGTGTTAAAACATTGACTACATGTGCTCACAATAACTCTCCTCCCTCTCGCAGCCCGCAGCGAGGGGAAGGTGTACCACTTCAGGATCCAGCGCTCCTTCATCGGGGCGTACTTCGTCTCAGATAAAGTTTCCTTCGGCACTCTGGGAGAGCTCATCTCGTACTACCAGAAGAACCCTCGCAGCCTCGGAGTGCCGCTCGAGGAGCCGTGTGCACAGCAGGTAGGACATAAAGAAACACAATGTTTTCTATTCCTGTCAGGGCCCTCGTTTACATAATGCATTCAGCGGTCCGTAACCTTAAAGCCACACTAATCAATACTAACACTAATGATGTGTATATGTAGTGAGCAACACACACACACACACACACACACACACACACACCATCCTCTCCAGACTCAGCAGTTCTCCTCAGCTCCACAGAAGGATCTGGTTAAATGTTTTCATTAACCTCATTTCCAGCAGCAGCAGTTTCCACCAAACACTCTTCACATAGAGGACCATTTAGGGATGGCTCAAGGACTTTATTGTCATTACAGTACTTGTAGTACATGAAAGGGAACAACATGACGATTTAATTATCACAAAAGCCACTGCACAATCGTTAAAATGTCACGGAAGTTAAATATGTAAATTTAAAAAAGACTTTAAATTGAACCAGGGAAATTGTGGTAACATAGGTTAAGTATCCGGCTACTAAGTTTATAAAGCAAAATAAAAATGCAGAATTTTGTAAGGGAAAGAAGCTTTGGTAAAGTCATGGTACAGTAAGTCATAGTATAGTATGTTGGGGGAAAAAACACATATATAGTTTGTTGGAGATATTAGAGGAAACGACATGGTATAGTCTGTCGAAAATATGCAAAGAAAAAACAACACATTAAATAGTGTCAAAAATATCAGAAAAAACTACCTAGTCTAGTATGTCCAAAGAAAGTCATAGTATTGTACGTAGAAAAATATCAGAAAAAACAATTTAGTATAGTATCCCGAAAATGTCGACAGCGTGGTATGCAGAAAAAAACATATATTTTCAGGAAAAACGACATTGTACAGTATGTAAATACAATAAACAGACTGGGTTATTGCAGAGTAGAATTCAATAAAACAATTAAGGTATAGTATGTCGAACATATCAGGAAAAAAAACAATAGTATTGTCTAAAAATATCTGAAGAAAACGACATGGTATAGTATGTAGAAAAAAGTAATTGTATAGTCGGAAAAATATCATAGTTTGTCAAGATGAGGCGTAAAAACTACATATTTGAGTATGTCAAAGAATACCAGTGAAAAACATAATAGTTCATTGCCTTTCTTTTTTTCTGCAAATGACATTATATGTAGGAGAAATCTTGCCTAAAACTAAACTGGATTAGCTCTCGTAGAACTGCTTTTGTAGTATTTCTCAAAGCCAGCAGCCACTCATGGCTCTTAACAGTTTCCAGTGATAATTCAAAAGATAAAAGTCAAATTTCCGGCAGCTAAACCTCCAGTTTTAATTTCCAGTATCTCTTCTAATTCTGCGAGTAGGAATCTGTAACAAAGTGCAACAAAGACCCTGAACTCATCGTTCTATTGTTGCTCTGCAGCAGGGATTTGATGAGTGCCGTCTTGTGCTTTGTGTGCATGAATTAATACCAAGAGGCAAACATATTTGGAACAGTTTTAGAAATGAAATCACGTGGCAGGCTGTAATTATGCCTGCTATCTCTGCACAGCAGCTCACATGAAACCCCCAGAGAGATGAATTCTTTATTCATGGCTCATCAGTTTCAGCCCGGCGGGAGAAGACGAGGTCTCAGTATCTGGAGACGTTTCACTGCAAACAGAGGAACCATCCATTTAAAACAGCAAGTCATCAAATTACAAATATAGAATGACGCTGAAGGATTAAGGAAGGTTGCGTCCCGTTTTACAGACGAGCATCAAGTAGTGTTCGGGACGTTAATTCAGTATTTCCCCTGGATCAGAAACCTCTCAGTGATTTCTCCCTCTTCTCTCTTCCCTTCCAGAGGAGGCTGTGAGTCTGAGGCCACGGACACACTGAGGCAGAAACACACACACACACACACAAATTCAACACTTTGCTTTCATTAATGCAAACAGAGTAAAACACTGACTGATAAAACTACTCATAGTTTTTCTTTTGCCTTTTCATTTTATACCTTATTACCAGTAAAAGTTGTAATCGGCTACTGACATACTACTACTCTAATAGTTTTTCTTTTGCCTTTTTTATAATGTTTTATTCGCTTATTTATATTTTATAATCAGTCAAAGTTGTAATCATCTACTAGTGAATGTATTTTTTGATTTGTAAGCGTCCCATTGGCATTTCAAGACATGGCTGCAGCTAATCAAGCTAATGTGATTTCAAGAAAGATGTTTTAACATTTAATAAGTCATTTTTTGGTCTTTTTTAATTAACCACATTCACCATTGGGTTTCAAACTGTGAGCAGGACATACATTGAGAACACAACAGCTCTTCCTAACTTATCTGGCATCCTGAGGTTCACAGCTTTTGAATCCTGAGTATGTAATTATAAATAGACTCAGTTGTTTGTTTTTTCCGAAGAGCTTTTTGAAGTATTTCCTCTCATCATTTATATTAAGTCAGCGTCTCAGACAGCCACCGTGCTCCACTCATCATTTAGGCTTCAAACACAAGAATAATCTGCTTTTCGAAGATGAGACACTCCCCGCTCCATCAGTTAAAGGTTTTTCCAGTAAAAAGAGACACTAATGGGGCTTTCAATCACTTTTTATTGATTTGGCACGCCTTTTTGTTTTTGTTAATTACATAGCTAAGAGACATGGTCAATAAAAACTGATAAAGCGTGGTTTGTGGCTTGTTTTAAGGAGATGTCTGACTAAAAGCAGATTGATCCTGCTGTTTAAAACGCCCAATAAACTGTCTGACTGACTGAGAGAGAACAAGTGGGTAGATTTCTCAAACCTGAAGCCATTACTGAGATTATGTCACAATTCTAAATGAAGTGGGATGAAACAACAGTATAACAATTTTGTTTTTGTTATTAGTCAACATGACTTATGACACACTCGTGTAAGATTTGAAAATGGAAGAATAAGTCAGAATAATTTCATTTTGAGTGTTCTTTGTATGTGTTTTATTGTGTGTCAGAGTATTCAACGGCTACTAACTTGTTTTGAATGGGTCTAATCAAGCCTTTGTATCACCTGATTAACACTTTGATTTTTTTCATTTCATTTTAATCAAAGCACTTGATATTAAGAACATAATGTTTTGTAGCACCTGATTTTTACTGACAATAGATTTGTCATAAAATCTTTGAATTCATGCCTTTTTCCGCCCATTTATTCTTTCACTTACCTTGCATCATGCTGCTTATGTCATCATCAATATTTAAATTGCTCTGAAAAGAATTAAGAAACGTGAGACTGCAAAAACATTTAACAAGCTAAGAAAAAATAAATGAAAGACAATATTAGCAAATATCGAAAGTTTTTTTTCGTCTGGCTTTTAAAAAAAAAAATCATTATCAAATGAAGGACATTTTGACTGGCATTAAAATCTTTTTGCATCAGGAAAAGATAAACCCAGGCTCTCGTGTTTCCAGTCATGTTGATTTATAGAGACCAGCATTCAGGAAAGTACATCAGATATCACAACATCAATGAAAGTTAAAGGCAACGTGCCCAGAATGTCATTTAATGAATCAAAAGCATATTTTCCGCTCTGGTCCATTATCACATTTCAACACTGGTTTCATGATTACTCGGCAGTATCAGGGCTCATGTCACCAGGTATCATGTACATTATGTGACCAAGCAGCTCTCATCATTCACAGTCCAGTTCTGTGTTTCAGCACCTTGTAATGTGCAGAGTGGGGACTTCTTTCAAAACTGATGAATCAAACAATATTTAAAATGCACAGAGCATCCTTTCTGTAGACAGTTCTGAGTGTAAGTGGTCTGGACTCACCCTGTGGTCTCTGTGCAGCGCGAGCTGTTCGACATGGAGCCGTGGGAGAGGCCTCGAGAGGAGTTCAGGCTGCAGAAGAAGCTGGGAGAGGGGCACTTTGGAGAGGTGTGGGAGGCTCTGTGGACCACTGAGAACAAGAAAGTGGCCATAAAGACGCTGAAACAAGGTAGGAAAGCAGGAATAATGAAGCATGTGACTGACCATCATTTTGTGTGTACAGACGGAGAGATCGAAATACCGTTTCCCACAATCCCAAATGCAACATAAAATATAATAATAATAATGGGTTCCATTTATAAAGCACTTCATATTTCATTTCAAATCCCGAAGTGCTACAAGCAGTGAGCATGAACAGTATAAATAAACATTACACAACACGGTAGAATTAATAAAAAGCAATAAAAAAAAAAATATGTATGCAAATATGTATATACATATCTCTGATGATTGAAGACAATTTGAACTGCTTTGCAATTGTTTTATGAGGAAGATGATGCCGATTGTTTTGAACATTTTGAAAACAGCATTACTTGCATCTGTGTCTGCCATCCTGCAATCTTCCTTAATGCTTCAAACCTTACACAAAGTAACACCCCCCACCTGTAGATCAGTGGAAAACCCTGGGCAGAAATGTGTACAACAATGTGTGCAGTTAAACACAAAAGGGGAACAGAATCATAACAAATCGGCTCCATAAGTAGAGGTCAAAAACGTACAGGGTACTACTTGCAGATGGCAGCCATTAAAGAGTTATTAAACACCCTTCTGTGTTTGCTGGCCTCCTGTTTACCCACTTCTGAACACTCCCACCTTCAAAAAGGAAATTGATACTGAAAACGAAGAATGGTTTCTGTCCTTTCTTTCAATCCTTAACACCTTGCCTAACTGTACCAGAGAGGGCAGTGAAACACCAGCTTTTCCTCCTGGTGTTGGGTTACTCTATAACGCTGTGTCAGGCTGAAAAAATAACAAAACACAATGGACCTTGATATTTGATCGTTTGTGGGTTTTATGTGAGCATTAATCCCTTTTCTGTCTTGAATAACAGAGGAATTAGCGCAATGCAACACAATCATTCTACCTGATTGGTCATCTATGGCAATTTTATATTGGTAGGCTAGAGATAAATATAGACGGATGAATGGATAAACAGGATGTACACAAACGTGACGGAGAGCAATGTTGATAACAAATGGCAGAAAGAGATATTGAGAGGAAAATGTTACCCCTCCTATTGTCTTCGTTTCCCCCCCCCCCCCCCCCCCTTACTTTGATGTTCGCGGTCAAATTTGACCGGTCCTGTTTTAACTGCTATTACATTAACACAAACACCATTAATCATCACCACATTTAATTTAACACCCTTTCAATCTGTAAATATTGTATTAGACTACTGGTATACATGAAAAACTGCAGTAAATAATATACAAAGAATAGACACTGAACATGTATTGCGTGTGCCAGGTGTGATCCATGTGGGGGGATGGGCACATAAGAGCGGGAAATGTATCAAATTGTTCTGTGTGTGTTTGTGAGTGCCAGGTGTGATTCACATGGGGGGATTGGGCACATAAGGGGGGGGGACACATCTAGAGTATGTGTGTGTGGGTGTGTGTGTGTGTTTTATCTGATCCGGATGGTTACTAATTCCTTTTCTTTATGGCGGTCATTTTTGACCGGGAACACCATGGGTGTTACAAAGTTGACTAAATCATCCAAAATTCAATGAAAGTGATGATCAGCAATTGTATATGTTCAAATGTCTACTGTGAAGGATATCATAAAGCCTTAATGCAATCGAATGTAAAACAAAAAAGTTATGATTGAAGAAAGTAGTAAATCGGTCAGATTTGACCGAAGACAACAAGAGGGTAAAGACTCAGAGTAAAAGAAAAGCTGCTTAAAATAGTTTTTGTAGGAATAATAAAAGGTTAGTTGGAGATCATAAAAACATTTTAAAAACTGAAATGAGTCAATCATGGACACCAGTTAACAAAATGACAACCTAGATAATCATATAAAGTATACATTTACCAATAATTGTGTTTCCCCTCCTCCAGAGGACACGAAGCAGGACGAGTTTGTGAAGGAGGTCCAGGCGCTGAAGAGCCTGCACCACCCGAAGCTGATCCAGCTGCTGGCCATGTGCTCCAGAGGAGAGCCCGTCTACATCGTGACCGAGCTCATGAACAAGGGGAGCCTCAAGTCCTACCTCGCCTGTAAGTCACACAAACAAACAAACAGATAAATATCCAGTGCTGAAAGAAGTAATCCAATCTTTTACTTAAGGAAAAGTACTCCTACCACAGTGTAGTAATATACTGCAGAATGGAAAAGTCATGTGTTCAAAATATGTCCAAGTATTGGGATCAAAATGTACTTAAAATACCAAAAGAGTAAAGTACTTATTTCAGAATATACATATTTATTATATAATCGAGGATAATTATGAATTGCTTCAATGTTGCAGCTGTTGCAAGACAAGTCATTTAGATACTGCTCAGTAAGTACATCTAAAATAATACAAATGTTTTGTAATGATTGGTAATGGTTCATAATTCCTTAGTTGATTTGTAGTTTTTATTCATTAACAAATCTTCCAAGAAACTAAAGCTGTCATATAAATATAGTCTAGTAAAAATATGTTTTCCTCTAAGACGAAGAGAGAAGTTTAAAGTAGCTAAAGATGTAAGTACTTGAGTACAATCCTGAGGTACTAAGTAGAATACAAGAGTGAATGCACTTAGTTTCCACCATGAAAAATATCCACACCCATACCTGAGCCTCGATCTGATGAGAAAGATTTTCCAGTAATGTTGAGATTGCTTTATTTCCTGTTTCTAACACAGGCCACACAACTGCTTCCTAAGAGAGGAGACTCCACAGCTGCTTTATTACGTAAAGAGGTTTAAAATGGGAAGCTAATTTACCAGAAATCTTTTCCTGGGTTTGACAATTTCAGCCCTTACCTCAGACATTTTTTGAAATGCTCTCTGAAGCGGTATTTAGGCCAAGCGACTGATAAATCTCTCCCCTTGAATCCAAAGAAAATGGACTTATAATCTGTCGGCTGGCAGCTCCGCTCAGCAGAAATATTGTTCTGACGTTTTACAAAAGGCTTTAATCACAGGGAGTCTTAGTGAGCAAAGTGTGAGCGGTTTGACTCAGATATCACTCATTCCAGTTTTATTCTTCAGGCTGAGTGTCATGGCTGCTGCAGTAATACTTTATGCTTCTATAAAACCTGCCACACAACAATAGAGAAGAAATTCTTCATTCAAAATCTAGTACAATGTGTTTAACATGCTGCAGTAAAGTTGTTACTCTGCAGTAAAACAGCAGTTTGTCAGTAATCACATTCATGCAAAAGAGGATCTTCCAGCATTACGTGTGTAAACGGCAACGAACAGTTGCAAATCACATCCTTTGGTAAACAGTTTAACGCTGCAGCGGATCATTGCCAACAGGAGCAGAACAAAGTAATGTGTTCCTCTTTTGCTTCTCTGCACAGCCGCACGCATCAAAGCGTTACGAGTAATTTACAGCCATTGACTTTTGGAGCATGTCCTGCGTTCATGAGGAAAATATGAGGCACTCATTCACAGCACATTCACATCTAGCCTCTGTACTTATCAAGGGGTGGGTGGGTGTGTGTGTGTGTGTGTGTGTGTGTGTGTGTGTGTGTGTGTGTGTGTGGTGTGTGTGTGTGTGTGTGTGTGTGTGTGTGTGTGTGTGTGTGTGTGTGTGTGTGTGTGTGTGTGTGTGTGTGTGTGTGTGTGTGTGTGTGTGTGTGTGTGTGTGTGTGTGTGTGTGTGTGTGTGTGTGTGTGTGTGTGTGTGTGTGTGTGTGTGTGTGTGTGTGTGTGTGTGTGTGTGTGTGTGTGTGTGTGTGTGTGTGTGTGTGTGTGTGTGTGTGTGTGTGTGTGTGTGTGTGTGTGTGTGTGTGTGTGTGTGTGTGTGTGTGTGTGTGTGTGTGTTAGGGCAATGCCAATAAAGTCCTTATTCTACAGCCATAGTGCAATAATGTACTTTATAATGATACGTTAAAGCAAATGTAGTTGTCTTTTGTCACTTTGACTTTGCATACTACTGTACATACATATCAGTACATCATTACTATATACATTGAGAGACAATAATATGTATTGTTAATACATTTTAAGTTACATTTTAACTTATCTTTTAAGTCGATTTTTTCCAGAAAAAGCTAAGGATTATCAAATCAAATCAGGTTTTATTTATATAGCACATTTAAAAGCGATTTTTGGTCGAGCCAAAGTACTGTACATGTAATAACACATTACTACAAATCACAATAAACGACAATAAGTTACAACAGATATATCTTAAAAACAAAATAAAAATAAAACACACGGAAAAGTCAGGAGTCGTGCTCCGCTCTAACTAGAAAGCCAGAGAGAAGAAGTGTGTTTTTAGTTTTGATTTAAAAACCCCTAGGGTCTGGGCCGACCTCACATGGAGGGGCAGAGTGTTCCAGAGCCTAGGGCCAGCTGCTGCGAAGGCTCGGTGCCCTCGGGTTTTTAGCCTGGTCTTGGGCACTACCAGCAGCAGCTGGTCAGCAGACCTTAAAGCTCTGGCTGGGGTGTAGCCCTGGAGCAGTTCAGCTATATAGGCCGGAGCCAGCCCATTTAGTGCTTTAAAAACAAATAAAAGGATTTTAAAATCAATTCTGAACCGAACTGGAAGCCAGTGTAGTGAGGCCAGAATAGGGGTGATGTGGTCGTGCTTTTTGTGGCCAGTCAGCAAACGTGCAGCAGCGTTTTGGACTAGCTGCAGGCGTTTGATTGAGGCCTGGTCCATACCCACATACAGAGCGTTACAATAGTCCAGTCTCGAGGTTACAAAGGCGTTAATAACCCTTTCTAAGTCTTTAAAAGATAAATACGACTTGGTTTTGGCCAATAGTCTTATTTTAAAAAAGCAGGATTTTACTACGGTGCTGACCTGCTTGTCGAATTTAAAAGTGCTAGTGAAGGTCACTCCAAGGTTCATGACCGAGGGGAGGATGTTTTTTTTGATAGAGCCCAGAATATCAACCGGAGAGGCTGGAGGTTGCGGTCCAAAAAAGATGACCTCGGTCTTGCTCTCGTTGAGGTTGAGGAAGTTTTTGCTCAGCCAGGATTTTATCTCTGCTAAGCAGTCCATCAACTGCTGTAGTGAGTGATTATGAAATCGAGTTCAATAGGGAACAAATATCAATGCCAATTATATGATCTTTTTACTGCCATTTCATTGTCAATCCATCCTGTTCACTAGTTCAGCTGACTGTGTGTGTGTGTGTGTGTGTGTGTGTGTGTGTGTGTGTGTGTAGCTGCTGAAGGCCAGGTGCTGACATCAGCTCATCTGATCTACATGGGCAGTCAGATCGCAGAGGGCATGGCGTATCTGGAAGACAGGAACATCGTCCACAGAGACCTCGCTGCCAGAAACGTCCTGGTGGGAGACGACCTGGTCTGCAAGGTGGCCGACTTCGGACTGGCTCGGATCATTAAGGTGAGCAGGGAGTGTGTGTGTGTGAGATTAAGAGAGGAAGAGAGAGCATGAACACATAGTATGATAGAAATAGGTTATCTGGTTGTTTCAATGGTCAAGAACGGTTTCTTATTTTAGAATAACGCTAATTCTTTATCCGTGTTCCTTTTTTAAATATGTATAATGTGCTTTGTTGTTTCTGTACAAACTCATTTATACTTCATTCAAAACTCCTTCCTCCTTCCATCTGTCCAGTATAATGAAACAGCACTCAAGTCTGCATAATTCACCCTGTGTCTGTGTAATAAGACGAAGATGTTTTATTCATACAGAGCTTCCAGGACATGGAAATACTTCAAATCAGCGAAGAAATAACTTTTTAGAGCAGAAATATAACATTATTTCCCTTCCTTTAACAAGCGGTGTTAATGTCGGTGCCACTCTCATTTTTCACATTTAACACAACGCATTTGTTTCCAAAAATAATGATAACATATTTTCTGTTTGTTGATTTTATGTTAACAAGAAGATCGATGTACTTGTTCGTATTTTGTTAGCAACATGGCTTCTGCTAGCAGCTGGCTAATGTTACCGTACAAAACAAGAAACAACGGAAATAATCCCAAAAAACAAGAAACCCTGATCTCAGTGCTATGGAGTAAGAGTAAGACACCCTGTAGAATCATTAGACAGGTTTTGTTACTTTATGATCTAGCTAAGAGGGAAATATTTGTGTATTATTACTCTCAATCTTCCTATTTTGCCTCATTCATCAGTGTGGATGGGTAGAGGTTTTGAGTTAACATTACTTGGGTTGACTGGAAACATAGGGACTATACGGATGTTTTGAAATGTGAATTATTCATCCAACATGTTACACAAAGGCAATGCATCAATTATGCAAGTAAAAAGTTTGTTCTCAGATGATTGATGGTCTCCTGTTTTTCAGTCAAGTCAAACCACTGTTGGGGCTTCATGGAGAATGAAGAAAGTCTTGAATTTAAAAAAACAGAAATGGCTCTACGGTGCGGATTTAAAGTCCAAGTTCATATATTCTGTAAACCTTTCACTGTGTCTTCCTCTCTATAGGACAGTGTGTATACAGCCAGTCGAAACACAAAGATCCCGGTGAGGTGGACAGCTCCTGAAGCGGCAATTTACCAACGGTTCTCCGTAAAATCAGATGTCTGGTCGTTCGGGGTGCTGCTGTACGAGATGCTGTCCCGCGGCAAGATGCCCTATGAAGGTATACTGAAGTGTACAGTCTTATTATTTTATGGAGAACTATTTAATTACTTTCCCACTGGTTAATAAACAGGTTATTGTTATACAATGGGTGATAGTGTGCAATTAATTGTTTCTAATGGTGGTTACATTCTGTCAAGTTAATACAATGGAATGATGTCATTGGATAATGCAGTTTACGTTATCCAAAAAGCTGATCAACTGTTGATTTGTCTGTATCTTACTCATTGTCAACAAATCATATGAAAAAAAGGTAGAAATAAGAGTGAATGTGCTTGGGCTGAAAAACACAGACAACATTGTTTAGACAAATTGTAAAGTGTTGGGAGAAGATATAACATTGTTCTAAACCGCTAAATACCATGCACAATTAAACCATTTTATTTTACAAAAGGGTTTAAACGTTACCCTAAAAAGAGCTTTCGTATTTTTTGGTATATTTTCTTGGGGATATTTTATAATGGCCACACTGTTTTACTGGGTGACTTGTTCCTGAATACACACACACACACACACACACACACACACACACACACACACACACACACACACACACACACACACACACACACACACACGTTATTTTTGACTCAGTCCCACATGTCCTGCTGTCACAAACACTCACTTGAGAACCACACGCCGATTAATCCTCAGCTCAAAATAGTCTACAACAAATGCACCATTTCCTCCTGTTTGATAAAGACTACAGTGTCCAGCTATTTTAGGAAATAACTGATACTTTAAAAAAAATAGATCTTTATATGTTTTACCATTTTTTAAAACGTAAGTACCACAAACAGGAAGTCAGAAAATTACTCGTAGGCGGATCCACACGTTGTTGGTTTTGGTCATTTCATATGTTGGAAATATATAAATTGAGGAACACAAGTCTTATTATATAAAAACAAGTTTTATCATAACATGTACTTTGAAGATACCTTGATTGAATAAGTAATGTTGACTTCATAGTTGAGTTCCTGATGTTTCCTAGAAGTGGTGAAATATCCCTGCCTGCAAAAGAAAACGATTGAGAAACTGGTCAGCTCCCAAACTCATGCTTTTTATATTTCTCATTAGGAAAAAACAACAAGGAAGTATTGGATCTGCTGTCATCTGGGTTTCGGTTGCCCTGTCCCAGCCGCTGTCCGCAGAATATTTACAGAATAATGATGGACTGCTGGGGCGCAGAGCCCTCCAAGAGACCCTCGTTCCACGCCCTGCACAGCCAGCTGGACTCCATATACGCCAGGATATACTTCAAGACTGTAGAGGTGTAGAAGAAGTGAAACATGGAGGAAGAAGGGGACAGCAGGAGCAGATCTGCAACGGACTATCAACTGCTGGATGGACTGCAAATATGCGGAGAGAAAGAAAACGGGGATGCATGCAACGTCTTCCACTACAGGGTAATTGTACTTTAAAAACACCACGGTGTGAGAAGACAGAGGGAAGAGCATCAGAACTGGACATTTGGAGAAGATGCTCGCCAAATCAAGGAAAGAAAATTAGGAATACCTAAGATCTTAGGCTCAAAGAAAGCAAGGCAGATAATTAAAAGACTATCACCTTAGAAAGGTTTGTATACACTCCTACTCCTAAAAACAATTGAACACTTAAACCCTCGGCACATTCACAGAACCAACTGTTTTTAATTTTATACCCGTTTTGTGTTTTATAAATGATATTTTATTACTTCTGGATGTGCCATGTTTGTGAATGCACACATTTTGAAATGTTATGAAATCACAGGTAAGGACTTTATTTAATCACCTGCCTTTGGACTGCAAAGCTAAAATGGAGGTTATGTGCAATAGTTAAGAGGTTTTCGGGTTTTTAGCCACGCTAGCGGCCCTGTGTAGAGATTTTTTTGACATTTAACTGATGCCATGATATTTTGTTAAGACCTTTGTGATCCTCAAAGGATGAAACTAACAACTTTGATGACTTTTTATCTAGCATCAGCAACAAATAACAATTTTCTTTTTACAACACTATGAACAGACTCCCTACAGCTTCCGCTGTACTTAAAGATTAAAGGACTCTCTAAATAATAAACCAATACTCTATCATGGTACTTTAATGCTTAGAATAAAAAGATGGATGCATGTTAACTTGTTAGCTCAACAGATAACATTCATGCTAAACTCAGTAGCATACTCAACTGGATAAATATAGAAAACTTATTACGCCTATGTCAGAATTAAACTCAAACCGATGAGCCAAAGTACAGTTCTTTGAGTCTGAGATGTCTTGAAATGATCACTATTCAGAGTTTAACAGTTTATATTTGTGTGACAAAATAGCTCAGGGAGAATTTTTTTAACACCATTAGACTTTAATGATCCAAATCAACTTCCTCTCCATCAGCTTCATGGGTCCTCTAGCGTGGCTGAACGTTGTTGTCTTGTTTTTAACCACAAAAATAAAGTATTTTAATCTGCCAACCTTCTGTTACAGGAATTTGAGAAGGTTTTGGCTACATGTTACACCTGGATAAATGTTTTTCTTGAATAATATGGGGAATTGTTTTTATCTTTCAATGTGTTGGGGTCTGACCCGGTGCTTTAACGGTCAGTGGGCCATAGAGCCATGTGTACAGGTTTTAAGTTATTAAACTTTGAAGAGGTCCACTGTAATGGCCGGTAACAACTCGAGTGCCTATGTTTACACCACATACTGTCCACACACTTCAAACTGGACTGTAAAAACGACAAATATGGAATAATGTATGAGGCTTAAAGACCTGCACAGTGAATTAACAATATCCAAAGGGGAATTGAGACAAATGCAACTTTTGTCTTTTATGCATGAAAACAATCAACAAAGCCACGTTCAGGAAACTTTAGCCATAATCATCAAATCACAAGATTGAGTTGTGTGTTTTAGGCTGAATGCCATTGGGTACCAAACACTAGTAGTACAAAGAATAAAATATTTAAAGTATTGTTTGAAATGTGCCTGTGCTTTTTAATCACAACTTCCACTGTATTTTAACTGCAAACAAAGAAATACAACTTTTTTATAAAAATATAAATGGGGGGGGGGAAAGGAAGATTGAGGTACAACTCTAAAGAAGAATGAGTTTACTGAGAAAAAACCAGAAAGGATCTATTCTAATCTATTTTGCAGGTTTTATCACTCACACTTTTAAGCACCCTGTATGATTTTACATTGATTTCTTATAAACTTAACAGCCATGGCTTTTTATTTAAGCCAACACAGACATTAGTCAAATGTACGTCTCTTGGTGCTTCCAGTCTTCCAAAAAAGTACCCAATGAATGCCAGGATTTTAAGCAGAAATTACAAAGTGTCTTACTATGTTTATCTCTAAAGAAATTGCATTTGGATTTAAAAAAAAAAAGACCACATTATTCCTCTAAGAGTACATGTATATCAGCCTCTAAATACATTACTAATCATTACTAATTAATCATCTTCATCAACCCAGTTGTACTGTGAAGTATCAAGCATTGCAGTAATGGGCATCATATTCAATATTTTAATTCCCACTTTTAACAATCACTATGCATATTTTTTTTAAGACACACAATGCACATCAGTAACGTTACATTCATGTGAAATATGTAGTTTACAATTGAAGTTCCTTAAATTAAATTATCCTCCAACTCAAGCAAATGGTAAGAAGAGAAAAAACATGTGGCCCTGTTGAAAAGTCCTCAAACAAAAGGTCTGAATCACAGCTAGATAAAGTCTACTACATGATGAAGAAACTGCGGCTTGTACAAAAACAAAAATGTGGTTCATTCCGGGCAAAGTTCAAAAGAGAACCTTTAACCTCAAATGATATTACTGTGGGTAAGATATCTTGGCAGCAGATACAGTTAGGAGTCAAAGAATGCACAATAAAAAAGGTGTGCCGTGTATTCAAGGAATGTCTGTCATTTTTAGTTTCAAGTTGTTTTCGCTGACATTGTTCTGATCCGGTCAAGCAAGATTAATAAAATAACTGAAAAGGGGTTTGAATAAACTGCTTCAGAGATACTAGGAGTGAGACACATTTTATGACATCTTCTCTGAATTCACAGAAAAAAACCTTTCTGACTGGGAGGAGCTACTGTGAAAAGATGAAGTGCGTCACTCAGGGCAAAGTATGAAAGTAATTGTGCAATTTAAAAGCTGGAATTTCTGCGTCACTATAGTAGCTTTGTCTCCACATTGAGGTGAGCTCAGACAGAAAGAAAAAGCAAATTCCCAGCTTGCGTTATTTGAACAAACCAGTGATATTTGCATTTGTAGCTATTGTTACGCCCCACCCTTAAAATGGCCCTATGGGGCTAACACAATTCCACCACTGACCCAAAAAGACACCTTTTAAAATCATCAAATCCATAGGATTTATTATAACCAACACATCAAATGTTTAATTATCCATCCTAGGATGAGAGGCAGAAACACAGCAGTCCCCACACCAGAGGCCTCCCCCTTCTGCTGCTGCACTGGAGCTTTTAAGCACTTCCTTCTCCAGGTGCACCTCGTCTGAACCTCGTTACAGCAATGCAGCACACCTGGGTAGAGGAGCCAAAGGGAAAAAGAAACAGGGAATACATACAGCCGTAACACTATACAAGTAAAACATTCATGCATTCAAAGTTTAAGTTGGAGTACATCAAGTTTATTTTAATGATGTTACTTTTACTTAAAGTGCTCACTAAGCAGAATGGCCTATTGTATAATAAATAAAGATTGACATTTGGGTTAAAATAATCAGCAGCATGAGTAATTCTAATGAATGCATCAATAATCATAATAAAGTAATTCAATATACATTATTTTGAAGTGGGTCATTAATTATTAGAAGTACTAATTATTATTAAACTACTTTTATTTTGGACTTTTACAAGTATTTTCAATTAAATTAAATTAAAGTATGACATCGGATTACCTTTTTCCACCACTGGTTGTAAACAATCAGAACTAAATCTACCAGTATATCTGACATTAGCCAGTGTGAGGTTTTGACGCCTGTGTCCTTTTATAGGCGGAGTTCTCGTGTTTTTATTATTGCCTGGCATAAGGAAGTAGCGTTCAGTGCAGAATCAGTCTCAGAGGATAAGCCCACAGGCAGCGGTTTCACCAGGATTCCTCACTCGGCATCACGCTCTACCTGTCCAACAGGTGAGGCCAGCTCACGCGCAGCAGAGGGAGAAGGCTCCAAAACCGAGCGGGGCGGCCACTCTAGGAGGGGGGGTACGGGAGCATTCATGGTCATCTATGGGTGAGTGTCTACGGAAAGCTTGCCCATGTCTGGAAACACTATGGCAGAGGATTTTCAGCGACAAGAAGCCTCCTCCTGGTGCAGAAGGAGGAGGAGGAGGAGGAGGGAGTAGTGGAGGGGGGGGCAGCAGTATGGACGGTACCGGAGGGGTGAGGGGCAGCAGCAGTGACGGTACCGGAGGGTCGAGCCCACCGAGCCCGGCCCCGCTGGAGAAGGGGTCTGAGAGCGGCTCCATGTTCCGGGCGCTGTGGTCGTTTGAGTCTCGGCACCCGGACGAGCTGTCCTTCCAGGAGGGGGATCTGTTCAGCGTCATCAGCCGCACGGGGGAGTGGTGGACCGCGCGCAGGATCGACAAGAACGGGCGCGTGCTCGACACCGGGGTCGTGCCCAAAAACTACCTGGACCCGGCCGACTCTCTGCAAACGCAACCGTGAGTGGTGGTGGCAAAATACAGAAACGGACCATAAACTATTTATCTAGGTCATTTGAATACACATAAATAAACTGGGTCATTTGCAACCATAAAACATTTCAGATTTTACAGACTGTTGCCTAATTTGCGATTCGCTTGACCCATAAAAAAGGGAGCCATATCCTTAACAATTAGTTATTAACACGCTGCACATTGTGTTGACAAGTAAATCACAAGATGCACATCGTATAAATGCATCAAGTTCTTGACACCATCAGCATACTGCAGTGATAAAATAATCTGACCTATAGTAGGCCTATAGCACAAATAAATCTGTGATATTAACAATACCACATCGAGTTCAGAGTATCTTTACATGACTCTGTAGTTCTCTACAAGATGTACAGGTGTGCATCATAGCCCTGACCCTTTATAAACCAATCAATAATAAATTATTGAGCATTTTCTTAATAGATACTGAAGGCATTATCAAGTGAGTGTGGCTTTAATCTTCTCTACACTTTCATTTTATGGGTTAAAATCACTGCAAAATACTCTTGCTTGATCTTGATCATAAAATTAGTTTGACTTTACTTGCACATAGATTTGTTTACCTCCTAAAATGTAAATCAACATCATGGGACCTGAACATGAGGCTTTCGAGTCTTTGGAGTTACTGCAGAGAGGCCTGCCAAATCATTTTTGGAATTTATTTTGTATTCCTTAGTAATATTTGATATTAAATACATTACAGTTACATGAATCCAACATGTTATTAAGAAAGGTACTTTGGCCTATTAGAGGTGCAGTGATGACGCAGTCACAATGACGGTAATCTAACTGTTACCTATTAATCGTTGAGCAATAACGTGAGCTATATAACCTGTTCTAAATCACTTTGTGGCACCTATCACAAGGGGAAAACTATTTTTTTTAATAAGGTTTTGAATGCACCATGAAAAGGTACCAAGTGAGCTTTTATACAATGACAACTTAACATAAGGAGTATCAAGAGAAGTTTCTCCATGTTATTATTGTTCTGACTCTTCTGCATCACATACCCCTCATGACTGTTGTGAGTCACACTGTGAGCATGTCAATAACACCTTTCATAATGTCAGTGTCTCTAAGCAGTGAAGCCTCACCACTTCTTGTTTTGTCTCTATCTCTCTGTGTATTGCTTCAACGTGGAAGTGTGTACTTTGAGTTTTGAGTACTTTTTCCCACATGTCCACAGCTGCTGTGGTCTTAAACTAAATTACAGAGTTGCTGGTTTTAATATGTTTAAAACTGTGATTATGTATTTATTATCATTTAATGTCGAATTTATTTCATTTTTAAATCTCTTTTTACTTGTATGGATGGACATGCAACCATTATTTTATTTATGATAATCAAAGAGTTACAATTTGAAACCAGATGACCACTTCCTATTTTTGACTTTTATTCATGGATTTCTGTCACGATCCAGGTGGTTTTTCGGGACAATGAACCGCATTGAGGCTCAGAGCCACCTGATGGGAACAGGAAATGACTCGGGAGCTTTCCTCATCCGGCACAGCGAGAAAGACCACGTGGGATACGTTCTGTCAGGTGAGACGAGAAGGAGAGTGGTGAAATGGGAACGAGATGTGTGTCGTATCACTAGGTCTAGGCAATATAGCAACATTATATATATATATATGGATATCGTGATATGAGACTAGATATCATGGTAGATTGTGGATATTGTAATATAAGTGTTGTGTTTTCTTGGTTTTTAATGGCTGATCATATCAACATTACTAATGTTTTTTTTCTCCAAAATGGTATTGTGTTAATATTTAATGGAAGTGCCAATAGTCAACCCTAAAATGTTGTTATAATATTGATAGAGGTAATGTGTTAAAGGTCCCATGTCATGGCCATTTCTACTGATCATAATTCCATTGTTGAGGGGGGGAGTGCTGAGGGGGCTGCAGCACCCCCATCTGCGAGGCTCCACTAGCACCCGCACCCGCACCCCCAAACGCGGTGCACCTACAGTGTAAGGCGCGCCAACTAGCACCATGAATATGTGTCCCCGGTGCAGCAGGGAACTCACCAAGTATTTCCTCCATACCCAAATCTCTAAAAACGGGGCTGCAACGGATCTGATACAGACTGATACAGATTTGAAATATCTCTGACGTCAGAAACAAGGAGCTCCGCCTATATGGCCAACTCTCCACCTATCAGGGGATTGAGAGGTTGCCGTGGCATGGTAACAGCATGGTAACAGCATGGTAACAGCATGGTAACATGACGCTCGTGCCTCGCCCCACTCCTTTGCAGGGGGGCGTGGTCAGCTGCAGCTCATTTGCCACAGAATCAGCCCTTGCAAAAACAGGGCTGGAATACAGCAAATAGAGCGAAATGAGGCATGGCTAAAATGCATGATCTGTTTGGTATTTTGAAAAAAAAACTTGACAGACATGTTTTATATAGGTATGGCCCTACAATATATTATTCAAATATAGCATAATAGGTCCACTTTAAGTTAACTTACCTACATCACGTTTTTCAGGGGGAAACACAAACTGCAGAAAACGTTAGCTGCTAACTGTTGTTAGCTAAGACAGCTAGCCTCCTAGCAAACGTAAGGTTAAGTTAACATTAACGTAACGTTGTAAGAAAGCTAAACGAAGCTTCGAGAAAGCTTTTACTCTCAGACTTGGTGAAATTGTGTAGCGTTGCTTACCTCCAGAAGGACTTTTAGCGCGTTTCCCAGTAGACAGAGCTGTCAGAGCGGTGCCTCTCAGAAGAGCAGCCGCTGGGCGGAGTCACAGAAACGTTCAACTGATCTTCACTCCTCGACCGTTGGTGCCAGTCAAAACATACCGCTTTGTTTCAACCACTGCCGTCTCGCCGTTCCCCCGTGTCCCGCCCTCTCTGTCTGTCTGTGTCTGTTTCAGTTTCGCCAGCAAGACTGCTGGTAGACCAGCATAAATACCAGCTAAAACCAGCATAGCCCAGCATGACATCCATGCTGGGCTATACTGGTTTAGCTGACCAGGCTGGTCTTGAACCAGCAAGAACAGCCTGGCCAGCTTGTCCAGCCTGGTAAACCAACTAAACCAGCCTAACACCAGCCTAACACCAGCTTAAACCAGCTAAAACCAGCTAAAACCAGCTAAAACCAGCTAAAACCAGCTACCATCTTAAGCTGGTCTATGCTGTTTTTTTCAGCAGGGGGGACCTTTAAAATCGAGTGAGGAAGGAGGGAGTTTAGCTTCAGTTTAGAAAAACGAGAGTGAGATACAAACTGCTTTTGTGCAATATCACTTACTATTTAATATTGTTACTGGCATCTTGTTCACTTACTTTATTTTGCTGCTACTTATTTTATTATAATACAAGTGTGTTTGCCTTTATGATTTAATATCCAAGCCTACTTATTTTATTTTTGTCTTTCATCTTCACTGTCACTTTGCTGTTGTAATGCTGTAAAGATTCTGAAATGTGTAAAATATAATGATAGCAGTCTGCCTTAGGATGTGGTAGTTTGTGAAGGAAAGAACTAGCAACCTAAGATAAGAGTTTTACACATACTCAATCAAATACTGTCTAATTCATGTTTATAGATAAATAAATACATCTTCCGGAAATATTGCACGTGACACTATAGTAGCAGCACATGAATGAAAAAACACTAATTTCAAGTGCAAAATATGCACGTATATCAAGTATGTAAAATATATGTGAACACTGCCAGAATTTACAAAGTTCAGGTAAGTTATACCTCTGACTGTATTTTCTTCCTTCCTGCTAAATGCCGTCTGTATATTATCGTCACTGATGCCCTTTCAAAGAGCAACAGCACAACCGTAACCACAGAAAATGTCACTATTTATTTTTTTCCTTCATATCATGCAGGGTACTAATTCGTAACTTTCAACATGACCTACAACACTTTCTACCAGAGCCACACCAGCCAAACCTGTAACACACAACTCGGAATGAAACTGCAATACAATATCAGCTTGCTTTCTATTTTACATTTCTTTGAAATCTTTTGCGGAAACTCTGTTTTTGTACCTGTTATGAAGCATTTCAACATGTTTATATGCCCTGACCAATCATTGAAAATCTAAAATAGTTCCCAGGATGTTCTGTGATACATGTTTGTGAGACATCTCAGATGCTGTTTTGGTGCTTTTTTTTTAAGCAGCTTAGTACTCATAGGTCTATTAACCAATATTAAGATAAATCCAAGTGAGAAAAATGTAAGTGAGGCTAAGGTCTTTGTGTTGTACTTTTCTAATGACCTCTGCTTTTCTCTGACTGTCTGTATGTTTGTGAATCTTTCTGCAGTGAAGATGAGCGTTCGGGTGAAGCATTTCAAGGTGCACACAGCAAATGAGGCTAATTTCTACATACAGCACAACCTCCAGGTCACCTCCCTGATCGACTTGGTGGAGCACTACTGTGCCAACGACCTGAACAACACCGGCACGCTGGGAAACCCCTGCAAGAGGGTAGGAGGCTATTCTCTCTATCTTTATTGTTCCTCTTTTCTTCTGCATATGAGAAAACAAGAAGTGTGGACACAGTTCAAACTTAAAGGGGACCTATCATGCAAAATGCACTTTTGTACGTCTTTTATACATGAATATGTGTCCCCGGTGTTCCAGGAAACTCACCAAGTGTCAGAAAACACAACCCTCTCTATTTTCCTCCATACCCAAATCTCTAAAAAAAGGGGCTGCAACGGATCTGATAAAAACTGATCCAGATTTGAACACTGTCCTGACGTCAGGACAGTGGCGCTACGGCTATTGGGCCAACTCTCCACCTATCAGGGGAATGTGGGGTTGGGCCACGGCCGGCCATTGCCGCTTGAAAGCGCTGGAGACGCTGTAGTACATATGCCAGGCCTGTAAGTGGCGCTGTAGTCTGCCACAAAAGCAGCGAAGAAGACTTCCCGCACATGGTTACCATGGTTACCCTTCTGTTTATTCTCCGCTGTGGCTTTTTTTCTCCCTCCCCGAGGCAAGCGTTTGCTCCTGCTGCTTTAATTCAATGCAATCCCTCCCCGTCGAGGCAAGCACTGTAATTCTCTCCGGTTAGTCCACCAGCAGATGACAAACACCCACCTCTCCGCCTCTTCCAAGGAACGAGGGGACCGTGCGGCAGAGTTTCAGTTAGGTTTTCTTTCGCAGGTCAAGATGACCGTTAAAGTTTAAATCTTCCGGACAAAATTAGAAAAGTGCCGGTCAAAGGTCTTCTTTGTTATTTATTGAGCTTTAAAACAAATGAATAACGACTCTATATAATAATAGGCTATAATAAAACACGGAGGATGGAGATCTATTTTTCTCCCCCTCTTCTGACTTGATCAGAGCGCGCTCCGCTCTCCTGCAGGGGGGCGTGGTCAGCTGCAGCTCACAGAATCAGCCCCCTGCAAAAACAGGGCTGGAGAACAGCAAATAGAGCGAAATGAGGCATGGCTAAAATGCATGATCTGTTTGGTATTTTGAAAACAGAAACGTATAAATATACCTTATATAGGTATGGCCCTACAATATATCATTTATATATAGCATGATAGGTCCACTTTAAGTACAGCTGTTGTACTTCTTTTGAGTGGAGGTGTGTTATGTTGTTGCAATCGAGCCTCAATGCGAAATTCACAAAAGGAAATCATGCAACAAATATGCAGAAGTTGTCAGGAAGCCAACTATAATGCTTCAAAATAAAAATGCAACACTAAGTCCCAGAGACATGTCAAACTCAATGCTATGATGTAGAAATACACTGTTATAAGGAAGTAAAAGAACAAACATATACTGTAAGCATCAAAATACAACTAAATTAACAAAAGTCAAAGTACTCATGACAAATGCAACATTTTTCTAATGTAATGAGTAAAGGGTATAAGTAGCAGTGAATGGAAATACTCATAATGTAAAAATAAAGACCTGTCCTGTTTTAAAACAGACTTGGAAAAATAGACCTATCCTGCCATGAAGGTGCATTGTTAACACATTTTGTAGCAGAAGCTCTGAGTCCGAGGATTTACTTGTTGCTTTTGTCCAACATGATAATAAACTAAATACATGTTGGTTTCGGACTGCAAGTTAGACAAAATAAGACATTGGATAACTTAACAGAAATTAATAGGATCATATTTCACTATTTTATGACATTTTAAAGACTAAACAATTAGTACAGAAAGTGATTGTCCAAAAGGAGAACACAGTTGCAGCTCCAAACGTTCAAGATATACCGTACGTTTACATATTTCACATTTCCATGCAGTGATCCTGAAATTGAATGATAGATTGAAACAGATCTAATATACTTTAAACGTTAGCTTTCATGCATTGTCTAGCATTTATAATCTGTATTTATGTCCCTTTATGACCAACAATTGCGTGCACGTGTGTTTCCCTCATCAGAAAAAGCCTCCTACCACAGATCTGAGTCACTTTACGGTGGACGAGTGGGAGCTCCCGAAAGACGAGTTCACGCTGTTGGAGGAGCTGGGCAGCGGATACTTCGCTGACGTCTACCGGGGGCGCTGGAAAAACCACATCAATGTCGCCATCAAGATCCTCAAAAGCGGTATTTGTTCCTCTCTCTTAAAGCTCGATTTAATATATTTATGAACATGAGGAGTTGTTTAGGTTCTAAGCTCTTCAAAAACCAAACAGAACGGCTTGAAAATGTTTTAAATACAGAAATGTTTATTGGAGCTCCTTTTACATGCAATATTTTGCTAATCTAGGCTGAGAAAAAAGGGAAACTGTCTAAAAATGGGTTAGAAAGAATCAGATGTATGGTGAAAGCACTTTAATGTGACGGTTTACAACTAAATAGTTTGTTGACCCTGTCATTATTTATTTTTATAGTTATTTAAATGTTTTGATACATTCAGATGTTATGGGTATGTAAAGGCTTAATCCTAAAGAAAGAATTAGAGGCTTTAGAGAAATACACAATACATTTGACTTCTTTAAATTCTCTTGAATCAAAGTAATCTGAGTAAATCGGAACATTAAGTCACATTGATTCATATTGATGATTCATTTGAGTAATTTTGACACAAAAGTGGCATTTCCTCGTGGTTTCTAGCTTCTCAAATGTGAAATGAATTAGCTTTTCCTTGGCTTTAAACTAAAAATGTAAATCTGCAAAGGAAAGATAAACTAAATATAGTTCTTGAGTAAATACACAGCTTTTGTTTTCTTAAAGGTCCCATGTGATGCTTTTCCGGTTATTACCCGTCCCCTTGTGTGTTATGAAGGTTTGTCTGCATGTAAACGGTCTGCAAAGTCACAAACCCTCAAAGTACACCCTGTAGTGAGTAAAACTCTAACACAGAAAAGACCTGTCTATGCTGCCCCAGAACGCCTCGTTGGAGATTTCTCTTTTTCTTCCTGGGTACAGTGACGTGCCCATACCCAAATGGACCCATTGGTCCAAATGGACCAATCCGTGGAGCCGTTACGTTACGTCCGCGCAGCCGTTACGTTAAGTCCGTGGATTGGTCCAAATTGACCAATCCGCGGACTTCCTCACACACACACACTCAATCTTTTCTCAGCTGCAGCTCCGCCGATTTCTCCTCCCTGAGACTGCGGGAGGCTGTGTGTGTGCTTGGGCTGGTTTCGGGCTGGGTTTCGCTGTGTCTCGCTGTCTCGCAGACGGCCACTGGGCTCATAGGGAGGGGGGGGCAGGAGCTCCAACAAGCCGTTTAGGACAGAGAGTGAATACACATACTTTACAGAGATGCTGTATGAGAAACCAATGTGATTTTGGAAAATTGCACAGTATAAATCTATTTGAGTATACCTCAACAATGGAATTATGATCAGTAGAAATGGCCATGACATGGGACCTTTAACAGTGTTGTGCAAAAATACAAATATGCATTGTGGATAACATGTTGGACCACATTTGAGAGAAACTGATGATAGACATAAGAAGTATGTAGTTAGATCTTCACGGTAATCCTCAGACGCCTCTCAGCTGGAAATTGTAACTGGCTCTTCAAGCTAAAGTGGCACTCTGATTCACTGAACATATAATTGCTGCTTTGTTGCGCAACGATGAGTAACATTATGTTTCCTGGTTGAGTAGATTTTCATCATCTTTTGGCTCAAAGTATGTACCACCAACGTGTATCACTATTGTTTGAATTGTTACAATGATATATATTGTAACAAACACCTGTAGAAAGCTGAGGTGGAATTAAACTAATTCCATTTACTCAAGTACTGTATTCACGTACTATTGGTTATGTACTTTACTTTACTTGAGTATTTTCTTTTCATGCTTCTTTCTATCTCTACTCTACCACATTTCAGAGGGAAATATATACACCTGGATAATATACTCCACTACATGTATCTGATAGTTAAAAGTATGTTAAATATATATGAGGAGTTTGACTATAAGAGCAGAGTTTTCATGAAAGAAAAATGGTTTCAATTTCTTCTTGACAACATGGTGAATCTGATTTATTTATGGAGGAATTAGTAATCCACTTATATACTGGAACAGCCACAGGGGACCTTTTTCTGCATTAAGAACTCTTACGTTTAATGCCTTAGGTACGATTTCCTGATTATACTTACATACTTTTACATAAATAACATTGTGAATGCACTTTTTTAAGTGTGATATTAGTACTTCTACTAAGGGAAGGATCTCAAAACTTCCTACACCGCTGTTAGAGAAGTCAGTGAGACCATTATGAGGCGTGAAGCAAAGCCACTCATACTTCAGTCTGTCAGGCAGCTCTCTCATTGGTTGACCTGATGACTCATTGTTCAGCAATACCGTAAAACTCCTCCAAACAGGAAGTAGAAACTAAACTATCTTCTTATTTCCATGAATCACTGTCTAAATATACCTTTAGACCGAAACCCCGGCCAGTTTATTGTAAATGATTCTAGATCATATTTTCGATCAATGGTTTATGACACAGATAACTAATGTAATAAAACGTAATATTTACTAATCATTGTTGTGTATCGTTTTAGTGAAGAGAATTGAAGGTCAACAACAAGTTGTAACATCATTGGCTGAATTACCATTCAAATTAAGTAGAGGCTTTACAAAACAAAGTAGATTTTAGACATTTTTACTTGATAAATGACTTTCCTGCCAACACAGTGGTGGTCCTCACTAATTGTTAAATACAAATGTAACTGTTTTGGTAATTAACAAAGCTATTTAATTTTATATCTAAATGTCAGGGTGTCCGTGGGGTCTTAAAAAGTATTCAAAGTTGATAAATCAATTTATCAAGGCTATTAAAAAGTATTAAATGGCATTTTCCAAGGTATTACATGTTGTAGCTTGTTTTCAATAAGTATATGAATTGTCCAAAGAGGTTGTATTCTATAGTCTGCCTGAATGTAATCATTGCGTAAGTGTGTAGTGTGATTCTGTGTAGTTTATTTATGGCATCCCGTTGGATGTGACGTCATCTGAACAGGACATTGCACGCTCACTGCTTGATAGCGCGCGAAGGTCCGTTTACGCCGGTTGTTAAACAACATCGTTATGGGGAAATGCAAGTCTGCGTCCAAATGGTTGGAAGATAAGGAGGAAGGACAATCAATACTGTATATAGTAAATGTGCGGTAAAGTGTGTCGCCAATGTAACCGGTTGAAACTCCAAGTGGCGATGAGGTCTTAAAATGTATGGAAAGGGTCTTAAAAAAGGTCTTAAAAGGTATTAAATTAGACTTCAGGATTCCATATACCCTGAATGTGCTCAATAGTTCATAAAAATAAGAACACTTTAAATTATAATGCATTGTTTCGAGTCTTAAAAAGCTTCTTTGCTTGTCAATGTCTGTCTGTCTGTATATAGAATAGAATAGAATATATCTTTATTGTCATCATACAAAGTACAACGAAATTCCTTTGGCAACTCTCACTGCAGTAATAAAATGGGTGGTAAAAACAGAGGTAGTAGCGATGACAGTGCAACGAGATAAAACTCAATGTGCATATTTACACTTACAGTCTAAATATATATTAGTAAAGTAGCCATAAGTATGACTAAATAGTGGTGCTTGCAGTCACAGAGAGAGCCAAGCCGCTGCGTCTGCACGCGCCGCCATCATGAATGAATGCCGAATATAGTTTTTAATTGTGGTGTGGTGAGGAAATCTGACCCTAAATACATCACATTTTGGCACAACACATATTTACAGCCCACTTTATTATTTTGCCTTTTTTGGAATGTTTTGTTATTTCCCCTTGTTTGGGAAATTGGGAACATTTTCCTCAGAAATCTTTTAATCAGAAGATGCTGCTTGACAACCCCAGAAGTCATTGATTAATCTACTAACCACTTTAACACAACGTTATAAAATTGAAAATAGAAAGAATGAACTAGCAGCGGCTGATATGTTTTTTTATGGTTGTTGCAATAATCTTGAGGCAGATGTAAAAAGAGCTTTACAGAGCGTCTTTTGCTCTTGCATTCATTTCATGCCAGATTGAGTCATGAAAGTGTTTATTTTAACCACACTGCTACCACAATATTTATGCAAAACAGTTGGATTTATTCTAATATTTATCTGTCATAAAGTACAGTGAGCTTTTACTGGAGAAGTATTTTTCATGTTGTTGTGTTGACTTGAATTTTAAATAACAGCTGTCTACATCTTCTTCAGTGGCTCCATATTTTGAATTTATGATAGTGACTACACAGATCGGGAAACTGGTGTGCGCTGCTTTGAAACTATTCGGTTTGACTTTTACTGTTTCTGGCCTTTTCTTAAAACAAGCAAAATCAAGAAAAGTTACTATAAGATACAAGAATAATAAATATGCAATTTGCTGAGAAGATTTAGATTCTTTTTGCCGCTCTTTTATCAAAAGGAAATCAATATATATATATTTACAGTTCAATACATTGTTTAATTACCAGCTAACATGGTTTTTACATTACATTACATTTAGCTGACGCTTTTATCCAAAGCGACTTACAATAAGTGCATTCGACCAAGAAGATACAAACTTGAAGAAAACAGAATCATATAAGTACATCAGGTTTCATAGAGCCAAAACATTTCAAGTGCTACTCAACTAGCTTTAGATAAGCCAGTCCTTTATTAGTGTATAAGTGCTTTGTTAGTAATTCTTTGTTAGTAATTCTATCGCTCGAAGTGGAGTCGAAAGAGATGAGTTTTCAGTCTGCGCCGGAAGATGTGTAGGCTTTCTGCTGTCCTGATGTCAATGGGGAGCTCATTCCACCATTTTGGAGCCAGGATAGCAAACCCACGTGTTTTTGCTGATGGGAACTTGGGTCCCCCTCGCAGTGCGGGTGCAGCGAGCCGTTTGGCTGATGCAGAGCGGAGTGCACGTGCTGGGGTGTATGGTTTAACCATGTCCTGGATGTAGGAAGGGCCAGATCCATTCACAGCATGGTAGGCAAGTACCAGTGTCTTGAAGTGGATTCTAGCAGCTACTGGAAGCCAGTGAAGTGAGCGGAGGAGTGGCGTGATGTGGGAACATTTTGGAAGGTTGAAGACCAGACGAGCCGCTGCATTCTGGATGAGCTGCAGAGGTCGGATGGCACATGCAGGTAGACCAGCCAG